AGACATATAATACCACTTGATTAGATGTAGCTAATACTCTTTTCAATTTAAACCTCCACTAAATTCATCATTGAAGCAGTGAAGAAAACAAAATAGTTGCAGTAAAATTATAAAGCACACAACAGAATTACAAGTCGTTGCAAAGGTAATTTGCATTCTGTAATCATAGGGCTGAAAATAGATTATTTTCTGATTAAACTACAAGCTTGCAAATAAAGCAAGCTCTAACACTGGGAGTTTTGTTCATTTGTTTTTACAATCCAGTCCTTTCAAACTCAGTTACAAAAGCAACAGTCAGTCATCTGGTGCTGTCTGTCTTTCGCATAAGCCAAAACAAGCAGTGAAAGGAAAGTCCCATGCATTACAATGAATGCAGATATTATCACTACATAGTCAATTATCAGGTAACATAGCACGAAATACTAGCAAATGCTGGTTCTGGAGAGTTAACTGCTATTAATTTCATGTTTTTATTGGTGAAAAATTAAACCTCAGCACTTTCTCAATACATCTATAAGCAGAGGTTTTCCATAAAGCTATAAGAAGCCTTAGGACTAACGCTACCTGAACATTTTCCAGAATCTCCTGGACACGATTCAATAAAGCTCTTTTCCGGGAGTTCTGTCTCCAGGTCTCTAAGTCCAGTGCTTTCTGTTTATATTGTTGTATTTCCTTTTTCTTTTCAAGGCTAAGCTGCAAAACAGAGTGTAAGAATCATGGGTTATATCACTAAACATACATTTCAATACAGAATTCCAGAAATAAATTAGAAAGAAAAACAACAGAACAAAACAATAGATGAACAACAACCACCTGAGACTTTGTGCACATTTTAAATGCCAGCTTCTTTTTAACCAATTATACATTTTTTAAAATGGAAGATGCACAAAATGCTTGCTTGGCACACATGCAAATGAACATGAATGTAAAAGATCATTTATAAAAAAATTCTGCATGAACATTACATGCTACAGTACCAACTTCAAATGACACAGGACTCAGACTGCAGGACAAGTCCTTCCCTGTCCTCTATGGAGACAGGAGGTTTGTGCATCCTGTAGAGCCCTCTGTGACCTACATTCCTGCCTGTACTGAAACTATTAAACTCTATGAAACACCAGCCTCCTGAATCAGAGGTGAATTTCACAACATGACAGACAAGCAGCCTTCTGGATCCTTTCAATAATCAGAATAGGAAAATCTTCCGAGTTACTTTAGAATATGTAGTTTGGATAAAAGTCAAAACTAGATCTACAAAACTACACCGACAAGAAATGGTTTCACAAAGTTCTACTAAATGAAGTAGGCTCAAGTCAAATGATACATTTCTTCTATGAAACCTTAAAATATCAAACCATTTGTAAATGAAAAATATTACAGTATATCGTTTAGTCTCCAATGTATCGTGATTTTTGGAGATTGTTGTTAAGAGTCCCTCATCACTAAAACAAGGAAGTCAGCTGCATTATTGCACAAACTACCAACAGTAGTTTGTTGCTTCTGCTTGGCTCTGTTTGCATTAAGCACGGAATGACTGAACATAATTGATGAGCCTGTGAAATACACTACAGGAAGCTGCAAATACATGTGGAACAGGAATTTAATTAAAAGCTTTTTAATTATCTCAGTATTTCCTATTTGCACTTTTTTTTTTTGACACTTTTAAACTAATTCACATGTTCAATACTTGGAATATCAGTATGATTTTACATAAAGTTAAGCCCGGCAATAACATTAATCTATTAATATTCATATTAATATTCATCTATTTAATACCACAAACATTTTTACTCCCCTTGTGAAGATAACAGATTTCAAGAAATAGAAGCAAATGTAGTCAATGTGAAAAAATGTACATTTTATCCCTTTTCTTAGTAAAATTAAGGCTCAAAATGCTTAGAATACTCTAAGCAGCAGATGATCCCTCAACAGAGCGGTACCTTCAGTAGAATCATTATACGGGGACATCAGAGCTAGTGCCAATAGCACAGTTAGCACACCAGGGAGAAAAAGAAGAGGGGAAAAAAAAAAAAAAAAAGCCTTACCAGAGGGGAAAGCACAGGAACTCCATGGAATTGAATGAGGGAGATATTTTTGTGCTGAACAGTGAAAGAGGTTTCTCTTTTTATTGCCTCTTCTTGGATTCTGGAAAGATGCTTCTTACAGAATATTTCATAGTCCTCCATCTTCATGTTAACTAAGCTGCAGAGAATAACAACATTACTCTTCCATGTACTTCCAAGACCATGAAGGGAAAACAACAGCACAACTAATTCTGTGTTACTATATTCCGGGAAACAAATTACAGATCAGAAAACTAAATTAAGCTTCTCTTCTTCCAATTGCTAACAAAAGCTGCAAAGCCATCCTTTTTTCCCCCATATAAAAATGGAATCTGCGTATCCAAGCAAAAAAAAGGCAATCACAGGTACACTGAGAAGAAAGCATGCATTGAGATAATCAAGATTTACAGAACTACACATGCTGCAGATAATCTTAACAATTTCCATCAAACACTAAACCTTTAAGGTCTCCCACAACTATCAGACAGATCCTATCAACTGACAAAAAAAATAATAAATATAATTGCAGCCAAATTTTAAAAAGAAGAAGATGCAGAACTAAGCAGGTATTAAAGCAAGGCCAGCCTTTGTATTTAGGGGGCTGAGAGGAATTTGTGTCTCACTCCCATGAGCCGCCGCCTCCATACAACCCTGTGTGAACCGCAGCCAATACTTGCACCGAAAAACCAAATAACAGCCTCGTTTCCTTCAAAGAGCCTGCATCTCCCCCACTGCCCGTGCCTACCGGAATACAAACTCGGAGCCGAGCACCACCTGCCAAGGCCCGACAACGCTTTTGTTCCCCTCGCACACCCCTTCGGCCGATTCCTGCCTCCCTCCCGCCCGCCCCGGTAGGAGCCCAGCTCCCGGCCCGGGGCGGCAGCCTGCCGCTCCCGGGTGCCCTGCGCGGCGCTTCCCCGCCGCTTCCCGGCAACGGCCCGGCGCCGCCGCCCCCAACACTACAGGCCCCGACGCGCACCGCGGCCCGCTCCGCTCCGCCCTCCGCGGGGCGGGACGGCGGCCGAGGGCTGCCCTCCCTCGGGCCGAGAATTTGGGAGGAAAAAACCCTAATTCGGTATGGGAAGGGACGTGCGCTCCCATCTACAAACCTCTTTGCATCACGCAGCCCCGCGGGACACGTCTGCGATGCTGGGGGGGAGCAAAGGCAGCTCCGGTTTGCAGGGGTAGGAGGTGGCGTTGAGAGCCGTCCCGCTGCTCTGGGTCTCCGGGACAAGTTTCCCCCCGGGAGCAGGGGTGAAATCTACTCTGCTTTATCAGGTTACGTACCATATGGCTGTGCAGCCCCTGGACAGCCAGCACCACAAACGCGCCGCCAGCAGGTACTGGTTTCACTGTGGTGAGAAAGATAAACATCAGAACTGGCTGAGCAGCTGTGTGAGGAGAACGTGGCCAGGGCACCTCAGACATCCCTCCCCTCCATCCATACCCCCTCCATCCATCCATCCATCCATCCCCCCGCTCTATCCATCCATCCATCCATCCATCCATCCATCCATCCCCCCTCCATCCATCCCCCCGCTCCATCCATCCCTCCATCCATCCCCTCTCCATCCATCCCACCCCTCCATCCATGCCTCCCGGGCAGCCGCAGGGGCAGCTGATACCACATTCCATTATTCGTTATGTGTCTATATATATACATCTCATTTTTCTTCAGATACACCTGACAAAAGCGAAAAAAACATAAAAAGAAAATAATATCCGAGATGCTCAGACCAGCTAGGACAATATGCGACAAGTAGTTATCTCAGCTATTAAAAAAATATACGACAAAATTAAATCCAGTTTAGAAGATTGGCTGGTGCCTGTTCCACCTCCGGCCGGCAAGAGTTCCTCACTGCAGAGTCAGTTCCTTCCCAACCTTCCCACAGAGAACACAAAAAACATCCCCAAAAAAAAGGTCAAAAAACTCATTTATGTTAGAACAAACGATTTCCTCTGCTTTGCTATTCTTTTTCTAGATTAAACAAGTCCAGTTTCTTCAACCTTCACCGATTTCCCTGTCTTGCTGCTCTTTCCTCTGGATTCTTTCCAGTTGCTTACGCTTTTCCTCACACACAGTGGTAACAGCGGATGCCCTCCCCAGAAGAACCCTCTCGTGGAATTGTTTTGGTTGGAAAAGGCCTTTAAGATCAACTCCAACCATTAACCCAGCACTGCCAAGTTACCACTAAACCACGTCCCTCAGCGCCACATCTACATGTCTTTTAAATACCTCTAGGGATGGCAACTCAAACACTTCCCTGGGCAGCCTGTTCCAATGCTTGAGAACCCTTTCAGTGGAGAATTTTTTCCTAATATCCAATATAAACCTCCCCTGGCACAACTTGAGGTGCAGGAGGGAGCTGTGGCCCCACGGGACGGCTCAGCTCTCCTCACAGGATCCGGCCTCAGTTTTAGTTCATGGGCAGGCACAAATAGACAGTTAGGTATATAATATATACAATACCTGGCACTGTATATAGAATACAATAGTTCATTGGAAAATAACTAATATTAATATTATATTTTGCATTAGTTCACTAGCATGGCTGTGAAACCTCTCCGATACACTCCCCAGACAAACAAGTCTTTAGCGACTTTGGGCAGTGGTACATTCCCTTCAACCAACGCCATGATTTTTTTATCTGCGCCGTTTATTTATCTGGAATAATCCATATTTTTTCCCACCTTTACCTGAGGGAGTTCCCCCGCCTCAGGAGCTGCCGGCCCCACCCCTGCCCGCCCTCAGCGCGCGCTGGCGGGCGGCGCCGAGCAGGGATTGGCTGGCGGTATCGGCGGCCACGAGCTGGTTCGCTGAAGGCGGGCAAACGGCGGGTGCCGATTGGTTGCTGGCCGTGGGTGGCTGAGCGCTGATTGGCTGGCCGTACGCGCTGCCGTCTTGCCGCTGCCCTTGCCTCTGCCCTGAGGAGCGGCGTGAGGCGGTACCGGCGGGTCGGTCGCGGCCCGGTTGGTGCCGCCGCCGCCATGTTGTGCTACGGTGACGGCCCGCTGAGCTCCCTCACGGCGCTGCTGGTGGCGGTGCTGGCGCTCAGCCGCAGCCCGGCGCTGGCCTGCCTGCTGACGGCCGGCCTCTACCTGGCGCTGCACCTCTTCAGCCTGGAGCCCGCCCCGCCTCAGAGCGCCCAGCGCGTCCTGCGGCCCCGCGGCGCCGTCGCCCGCATCGCCCACCGCGGCGGCGCGCACGACGCGCCCGAGAACACGCTGGCGGCCATCCGACAGGTCAGCCTCGGCGGGGACTCACCGTGTCCCCGAGCCCCTCCACCCCCGGCCGTGTCCCTCGGGGCGCGTTTAACACGCCCAGCCGCTGAGAGACCTGCAGGGCCCGCGGCGAGGTTAGACGCGTGAGGCCAAGCTGCCATATGCTCTGTGGGGACAGAGAGCGCCTCAGGGAGCCCGTCTCCCTCAGGCCTGGTGGGTGAGAGGCTGAAATGGGTGGGCGGTAATACAAGCCTGGGGGTTTTGTTTGATAATCTGCCTTTTCAGCAGGCACCAAGCCCTCGTCACCCCGAATAACTTCAGTTTAACTTGCCGCAGGAAGCGGTGTTGCTTGTCAGACCTTCATCCCCAAGCAGAACAGTTTGAGCAGACCTGTGTCTTTCTCTAGGAACTGTATTACGTCCTTGGTGCTGATGGATGTTTTAGCAGTGCAGCAGTAATGACATACTGTAATTTCCTGATGTTGCAACAGAATATGGAGAGTGGTCAGCAATTTATTCGTAGGTCATTTGCTTTTTAAGCCTGAAAGATCTCTAGTGAGAATCCAGAGTTACTGTGAAAATTTGGTACTGTGAGAACTTCACTGTGTACAGCAGCCCTGCCATGAAGCTTACTGTTGCCTCATCTGGGAGGGGTTGTGGTGCAGCCAGGGTTCAAAATCTGTTTCTGAGAATCATTTGAAATCGTGATTAGCAATGCCTCAAATGTAGTATATCTGTGATGATCAGATGCAGCTGCTGTGATGGTTTCTTACCTTTGGGTGAGGCAGGGCTCTTTGTTCTCATGAATTCTCAAGCTGCACCATAGAGATCCCTACTTGGCAGATACCTCTCGAGTAGCCTCTAGTGCATACCTGGCATTTGTCTTTCTGGTGCATTGGCCCTTTTCCCAGGAGGGCATTTGGCCTTCAGAACAATTTGCCTTGCTTGCAGTTCACTTAGGGTGCTTTTCTGAGGAATTCCTGGGAAAGAGCCAGGACAGGAGAAGGATGTATGAAATGTTTTAAGGCAGCTCAGCTGCTTATTGCTCTCTGATATTGGGATTCTTCAGATAAGAGCCAGGATTTGCCTACATACCTCTACTATTTAGCACAAGCATGGTAAACAGTGCCTCTGGGAAGTTTTGTATCTACTGCATATGGTGGATCAACTGTACTGCCTGTGAATGGCAATTCTGACTCTTAAAAGAAATGTGTATGTTCTCTAAAAAAAAGGGATGATAGCTTTTCCTTGTGCAAGCAAAAACTTTATGCTCTGATGGCTGCTCTGATTCTGGCTTTTAAGTGTTAATCTATAAATTATCTAAATTGTAGGCATTTGCTTCCCTTCTCTTTTAGAAAGTAACATAACTTAAGGACTCAAGAGTTACTGGTACAGAAGGAGAGAGCAGGATTCTTTTCTGCGTTTTTATCCCAAGAGTCCCAATCCTGTGAGACACTATCGCTGTGGTTTTATCTGTAAAATAGTTTGTATACTTTCAGCTGATCTATGAATGCTTCTTACAATAACTTGGATGAAGCCTACTTTATTCTGCACATCAAGCTTGTTGAAAAGAACATTAGTAGTTTATTTTTTTACCAGAATACAAAGCAATTATAGCTGTTCCTATATTAAGTCTATAAAGTAAAGCTATCTGTTTTGTATGTGATTTCTTTTTTTTTTTTTTTTAAGGGCAGCTGAAAATGGAGCAACGGGGGTTGAGCTGGATCTTGAATTTACTGCAGATGGTGTTCCCATTCTAATGCATGATGAAACAGTAGAAAGGACAACGGATGGGTCTGGAAGATTGTGTGACTTGACTTTTGATGAAATTAGGAAGCTTAATCCATGTGCAAAACATCGACTGGGGTAAATGAGCTATTACAGTTCTGAAACTACTGTTTCAATAGGAGCAACGGGTGTTGAGCTGGATCTTGAATTTACTGCAGATGGTGTTCCCATTCTAATGCATGATGAAACAGTAGAAAGGACAACGGATGGGTCTGGAAGATTGTGTGACTTGACTTTTGATGAAATTAGGAAGCTTAATCCATGTGCAAAACATCGACTGGGGTAAATGAGCTATTACAGTTCTGAAACTACTGTTTCAATACTGTTTCAACTACTGTTTCAATAATGAAACTTTAATGGCATTTTATTCACATATATTTCTTGACTGATTGTGTCTTGGGGGTTTTGTGATTTTTACAATTCCTAAACATCAGGATTATACTGTTGAAAAGGAGCTAGACCGATTTCCTGGGTAGTCTGAGGTAGGAGCTGTGACCCCAGTAGCTGATTAGGTCCTTTCCAGTGCTGTGCAGGGGAAAATACTTTTATACATTACTAAAATGTTTATAACAATGCAACTTATATAGTATCATAATTGAAACCATTATAGAGGAAGAACTTGTAGTGTGTGTTCCTTGTATTTCTGAGCTGCTGCATTAGGGACTTCCAGACTTTTCTAAACATGCCACCTGTGAGTCTCTGGTCCAAGGAGTATCTTCCCTTTCTGTTACTGGGAAGGTGATCATCTGAGCCTCCGCATCGGCAGTTACTGCTGCTTGACTGTTGTTCACTGCCACCTTATCAGGAATAATTTATTGATGTGTGAAGCTGCTTCTCTGACATCCTCAGCTTGTCTTGTTTATCCTGCCAGGATCTGTGTTTCTGGCTCAGGGCCAGGGAGCGCAGCCAGAGCAGGGTGAAGTGGGAGGGCGGGTGGTCAGGAGTTGGGACTGAATCCTTAATCTGTGGTTGTTGATGGAGGAGGTGAAGAACTGAGGTTAGTGTTCTGGTGTGGGACACGGGGTCAGTGAGCATCGGATTAGAGCTCTAATTTGGAAGGGTGTAGTTGTCTAGTGGGATGCTGGGGGAAAAGGAGGTGTGCAGAGATCCATCTCTGCCATTGCTAGTGCTGCTTGATCCCACCTCTAATACTAGTGAATCAGCAAACTATGTTCAGGAATCCCTAGGAAACAGCTCTATGTAGTTGAGGATGTGTGTGCACATGTGTACCTTGACTGCACTCCAGTGAGGAGTTCTCTGTTTCTACAGGGACAAATTCCAGGGTGAAAAGGTACCAACTCTGAGAGAAGCTGTTGTGGAGTCTATGCATCACAATTTTATAATCTATTTTGATGTCAAAGGCCATGCAAATCAGGTACCAGTTACTGCACTAAGACACCTTCCTTCACCCTTTCTTTGAGTTTCTAACCTGCTTTTCTGTTACTTAACTGATAAGTGTGGTACAGCCCCTTCTCTAATGTGAATGAGACTAGGTCTGCTATTTGTGTCATCCAAAGTTGGGCTGTCAGAGCAAGCGTGTTCCCTCATCCTGTTCCATTGTCCTGGGAAGCTGCAACTTAAAACTGGCCTGATTCTTGTGTGAGTGTTGAGTTCAGCTCACAGCACCACCGTGAAACAAAGCAAAGTGAATTCCCTGCCTGTGCTGAGGGGAGCTCGTATCTCATCCTCAGCCTCCAACTAGGGATCCTGCTTGTTTATAATTTGCATTACTGATGGGAGATACAGGTGATCAATCATTAATATTTTATGCAAATCATACTAGTTTTGTGTTTAGCATAGCAAAATATGGAAATAAATTCATTTTTCCCCTTGAACTAAACCCTGGGTAGTACTTCAGAATCTTACCCACAATATATTTCAGTGTATTTCAAACTCCGAGAATACTACTCATTGCTGTAACCAGAATTATGTAAAGGACTCTCATTGCAAGAAACAAAATGTTATTTCTCTGTTAATGGTATAAACAAAATGCTGTTTTTCTTCCCACTTTCCATTTCAATCTTGTTACACAAAACAGGAAAGTATTTTTAAAGGGGATTATTCTAAAATGACTTTGCAGTGCAAAGTAAATATAAGCATTCTTATAACATGTGTGTGTATCTCTAATTGGCAGGCAGTTGACGCCCTAAAACAACTCTACCTGGAATTTCCGCGTTTGTATAACACCAGCGTGGTCTGTTCTTTCATGCCAGATGTTGTTTATAAGGTGATGTTTCCTAAAAGTTTATTTTGGATTTTGTTTCAGTTCTCTCCGGGAATTTCAGTAAGATAAACAACGCTTAGTTCCAGATTACTTTTGCATTGTTCAAATTGCCAAGACTTCTTTTTTTTAAAATGAAGCATAAATCACAAGTCTTCTGCATAATCTCACTCTGTGCTTATTAGATGCACGTGTGAACCTACAGTGATTCTCTCCGTTCTGAAGGTTGCATAGAAAAAAAGTGCATCACTTTTGGCATCTGTGTACCTTGGCCAGGTATCTCTGTGCAAGGTCCCTGGTAAATAAACCTTGTATTTTGATGTAAATGTAGACTATTAAAACTATTTCATAATTCTCATTGCAAAGTCCATTTACTGTGTATTTTATTCCATTGCCTGACTGTTAGGCATTTTTTTTTAACATAGAGCAATTGCTTATTCGGTATGTTTTAAACAAAAAACAGTAAAGCATCATAAACAGCTTTTTAAAAGACTTAAAAAAAGGATCTGGGGGTGGGAGGAGGAGGATTCTGGTAGAGCTGCAAGTGCAAGCTCACACTTTGTATCTAACCTCTCCCAATTTGTATTTCTTTTGTATGAATTAGTCTTTTCTCCTTGATCTCCCAGATGAGACAAGCTGACAGAAACGTTGTCACAGCACTAACGCACAGGCCCTGGCACCTGAGTCACCTCGGAGACGGGACACCCCGTTACAGTTCCTCCTGGAGGCATTATTTGTACATGATGCTGGATGTTGTTCTAGATTGGAGCCTGCACAGTTTCTTGTGGCGATTGTGTGGCGTTTCAGGTTTCCTCATACAGAAAAATTTTGTTTCTCAGTAAGTGTTAAAGCTTGCTAATAGATCAAGAGGCAAAATCATGCCATTAGTATAGAAGAGTGGAGTTAACATAGTATATGTTAATCAGTATGTTCCATTTAGTGGTGTTTAAGTTTGTTTAGACAGTTTTTTTTACTGCATGCTATTTTATTATTTTAAGCCTTTATCTTTTCAATCTGTTTTTATCTTGTGTTAGATCCTAAATTTAATCTCAAAAGGGAAGAAAACTGTTGCTTTTGCCTGTTTACGGTAATAAACCACACAAAGATGACATTGCAAAAGATGACACGGTACTGATGTAAGACTAAAACTCAGTTGTAGCCTCAGCAGAGTCTACCTTAAATATGGTAGTGTCAGCCTTCCTCTTACGCTGTCTGTTCCTGCAGGGACTACGTGAGGCACTGGTCTGCAAATGGAATTCACGTGGTTGCCTGGACAGTGAACACATTTGCTGAAAAAAACTACTATGAAAGCGTCCTTGAATCCAGCTACATCACTGACAGCTTGGTGGAGGACTGCGATCCTCATTACTAGACCGGTGCTTTGTAGACACCAACCCAAATAAACCATCTCGCTGGGGCGGGCCTGAATTCGCCTTCGAGGGAGTATCCACCAGCGCAGAGGGGCCCGCTGATGGTAGCTCTGGGACACAAAGAGCAGTGGTTTCCTTCTGCTGTATGGCCAGATCTCCAGTGCAGAGAACTCCTCTGTGAACACGGGACAAAGCCGAGGTACAGCTATTCACAGCCTGAGGAGACAGCACCGTACTGTGTCTGACAGGCTGAACCAGGCAATGCCCTGTGTGTGCAGTTGCCTTTATAATTCTCGGGACTATTCTTCTTGTTTCATTTAAGTCTTGGTTATAAAGTTGTATGAGCAGTTTTTGGTGGCAAAATTTAAAACCAAACCTTGATTTTTAGTGATTTAATAATTTGAGATCAATTTATGGCATCTTGAAAACCTGAAAATAATGGTGCCAAAATAGAGGGTTGAGTGTATTTCTTTTCTCCTGCATGGGAAGATGGCTGTGTCGCCTCTTGACGAGGAAAAGAAAGCCAACTTTCCATGTTCAATGTGAAGACTGTGAGAATTAACGAATAAAACTTGAGTATCTTCTTACCAAGGGTGGATAGGAGATTGTGCCTGTAACGGTACAGCACATGAATGTATTTATTTTTAAAAGAAAGCTATGTATTGAGTGCTGTTAGTAGTAGAACAAATAGAGCTGAACTGTCTTTTTACTTTGCTTGTTGTTTGTGTGACTGAAGGGCACTCACAGGGGTACGTGGGAAACCATAATCCAGATTTAACTTGAAATCAAAAATCTGCAGTTACAATAAACACATATCTGACAGCTCCTGGGTATGGCATTTCTTTCTCAGCTGTGCACCAGCAGAGTGATGTAAAATGTCAAGATTAGTGCAGGTTGCTGCTACTTTTTCTAGCAAGTAAAACCCCCTGGTGTTCTCACAGATACCATCGAGGTGCTGTGAGCAATTTTGGCTCTACTCTGGAAGGAGCTGGTGGGTAGAGAAGACCGTCAATGATCAGCAAGAGCAGAAAACTCCTGTGGAGCCAGCTATGTTTTGCTATATATAAGCACAAAGAAAGATTGAAGTAAGGAGGTGGGTTTTCCTGTCACGATGCTAAGAGCGTCTTCGGTTCATGTCAGTCACCCACCCTGTGCTGCAGAACCAACATCTCCATCCTCTGGTGCCCATCCTCTGTCATGTGTACGTTATGCCCTCAAGTGGTTTCTGCCCAGCCCTTCCACGAGAGCTGTTGTCTCCACCGTTACAACTGGACGGGTTCTACAGGCGCTCCCTGCGAGGCCAGCGGAACAGCAAAAGGCCCTTTGTGGCAAATGGCCCTTGCTCCAAAGGTCTGGTTTTTGTTGGTGCTGAGTCCCCACCCCCAGGGCAAACACCAGGGGCATATTCAATACTCACAGCCTGACTCCACAGCTACTCCTGTAGAGAAACACCATAAAATGGAATCTCTGGTCTCGCACTGTGTATAAAGTTTGTCCTTTTTCTCTGTACCTTTGGTGGCTGGTTTGGGGTCTGTCTTCAACTTAAATTATAAGCATGAGGAAAAGATGTGCCTCTTTCCCGAGGCGTTTTGATGTCCTAGGCAATGAGGGAGGAATAAACGAGGCAGCAATAGAAAATGGGCTAAAGAAAAAAAACCAAACTTAAAATCAGGTCAAAGTTGTGGCTCTGAATAAAAAGAAGCTGCATGAGGTATCTCAAAGTTATATGTGATTAAAAAATCTCAATTGTGTGACTTCCAATCTACCCTTTACTGGGAGAGATACGGGTAAACTTTCCATTTACAAGCAGTGGTCTATGCAGATGAGAACTTTGATAAATAATCACTCTTAAAAAAGAGTTCTGGTAAATTTTAGCATCAAAGCTGCTTTTGAGTGACTAATAAACTGTAAAAATGGCTCAGAAAAGTGAAAATGGAATAGAAGCTTAACCTGGCTCACACAAGCTACTTCTCAGCTGTTAAAATATCTGTCATTCAAAACAACAGCACTTGAGTTTCCTTCAATTTTAATTTCACCAATACTTCACTTTTGGTTTAGATCAGATAAAAGCAGTTTGAACAATATAGCTTATATAAAAATATTTTTAGGCCAAAGGTTTTATTTACAATTAGGCACACCTTTCCTTATATTTTGCTGACGAGAAGTGAGTGGCTTTGGAGAAACCCTTACTGTGTGGAGGCAACAGCCAGCCCTGAGGCAAGGCTGACTCTCACCACAACATCACTGCTTCAGGAACAACCCAAGTACACAAGGTCTTTCCTTTCATGATAGCAAGTTGCAGCCGGGATGTATTTTGCAATCCGTTCTTCTATTTATTTCTTTTTTCCATTTAGGGGTAAAAAAATATGTTTGAATGGCTCTTTCAGTCATTAGTGCAAATGAGTATCGCTGTCCCCAGACCATCAGTCAATAACTCAATATTCATTATTGACTGTGCCTACTCGTGGTTGAAAATAGCAGTTGTCATCTTCCTCTTCCTGCAGCGCCACTTCTCTGGCACGCAGCGCCAGCGCCACGGCCACCGACACGCCTGTCCCACCGGGCTGGGGCTGCTCCCACTCTGCTCCTCACAGAGAAAAATCACGTTAGCTCCGTGGTGTCGGTATCGTAACACCCCCATTAACACCCCCCAGGCTACTTCAGTCTCTCATCTGTCAGGTTTTTGGAATGAAGCTACACGTTTGTGTAAACCAGGAAGAGTACAAGCTTTTTTAATTCCAGACACAAAATATCCTGTGGAGTCTACATCCCAGAACTGGACACAGTACTCCAGGTAGGGCCCCTCTGCCCTGCCTTGGTGAGGCCCCATCTGGAGCACTGTGTACCTGGAGAGGGGACAGCAGAGGACTACATGGATGATGAAGGGCCTGGAGCATCTCTTGCAAGGAAATGCTGAGGGACTTGGGTCTTTTTAGTCTGGAGAAGAGAAGACTGAGGGGGAATCTGATCAACACCTAGAAATACTTAAAGGGTGGGTGTCAAGAGGATGGGGCGGTCTTTTTTCAGTGGTGCCCAGTGACAGGACAAGAAGTAATGGGCATAAACTTGAACATAAGAAGTTCCATCTAAACACGAGGAGGAACTTCTTTACTTCAAGGGTGGCAGAGCACTGGAACGGGCTGCCCAGAGAGGTGGTGGAGTCTCTGGAGACGTTCAAAACCCACATGGACATGTTCCTGTGAAACCTGCTCTGGGTGGACCTGCTTTGTCAGGGGGGTTGGACTAGATGATCTCCAGAGGTCCCTTCCAGCCCCATGTCATTCTGTGATTCTGTGATCCCTAACAACCTCTTCTGAGATTCACACCAAGATGTGAAGTACCTCTCTAATGCGATGTAATATTCTTGCTTGTGGCTGCTCCCCTAAAACAAAATGGCTCATTTACCCACGGAAACTCAACTCTGCTACACAGGAGCTTGTGATCAGTCTTCAGAAGTCACTGCCAACACGGCAACAAGCTACCAATGAGTGTGTCTTGTAGGGAATGTTTACCCGGGAAACCCAGTCTTTTTGTTTTCTCCTTATACAAGATGCTAAAATCCTGTGTCTCCCACATCAAGCTGTTACACGCTGTGCCTGCCTGAAAGCAAATGTTTTACTGAGCTGAGCTTCTAAGAGCCACTTTCTGTGTTCAGCAGCTGGTGCTTACCTGGTGGGAAGCCAGTCCCGTGCGGGATCCCGCCAGAATAGGGATGCTGAAAACAAAATTCACAAGTAGATTTAGGTCGATGTTTCCCTCACGTGCCTGTTGTCTTGTATTTAAAGGATACCAATTACCTGTAACAAAACCACACTCTCCAGATCCTCAGCAGGTCTGTGAGTATGACAATCCCAACAGCTATTCTGATTACATTTTGGTACCTGTTCAATCTTTAAAATGATTTCTACACATCCAGGATGACCTCATATATATTGTCTATATCATGCCCCAGGTTCTATATAAGGAAATCTGCCAGAGCCTTCCTTCTTTTGACCATCTCACCTCCTCGTAGGATGCATTTTGATTTCCATAAAATGCTGCTCCTGGGTAGTCGGGTGCATGCTGGGCAGGTTGCCTGGGCGGGTCATACAAAGAAGAGCTTCTCTGAAAGACAGAATTTTTGGCATTACAGTAATATATTCTGGCTTCCAACTCTATGGTCGGTGCTACTCAACAGCCAAGGCTGTTACCCTTGTTTTAGGGAGATGGCTCTTCTACCACATCAACAATGAGATTCTTCCAGTATCTCCTTTTCAAACCCGACCTTAATCACCACAGGAACACCCCCGCTTTGTAGGCTACCAAACCCTCCCCTCAGGAGTCCCAGCTGTGACCCTGGACAAGGCCACAGGGCTGTACAGCGGCTGAAAATTCCCAACACATGGAAAATACCCATTCACTTTACTTTGTCCTCTTTACAGTCAACATTTATTTGTATTTATTTATATTATCACCAGTACGTAGGTCAAAGAGTTTTGCTCAACCCAGATAAAACCACTTCACAGCAAAGTGTGCACATTTTACACTGATTTGATGTCTCAGCAGGCTTAAAAAATAAATTCAAGTTTAAGACATTAAATGTCTATCTTAATGTCGCGTGGGATTTAAAATGAGGTTAGGTCAAAGCACTCAGTTTTACCTCAGCTAAAAAGATTGGGCGGGGGGGCAGAAAGCATAAACCCCCACAGAAATCCAGAGTCAGGGGAGGAAGGCAGCCTCCTCCTTAGTCCAGGCAAGGCCCAAGTGCAGCTGAACCCTTTAGAGACCATCACTGCACTGCTAGATTAGGAATGTCTTCTTGCAGTTTCATAATCATAAATAATATCTAGTGAGGATACAGGACTTTTCTATATCTCTCCCAGGTTAAATTCCAGTCTGGAGCAAACAGTTAGGGAATTTCCACAGTATCCTTTTGCTGTCTGGAGTGAACTAGTAATCAATCAACTTAGGTGAAGTTCTAAATGCAGACAGATCCCAAAATGGCAGCCTGTTTGCAAGGCCAGAGGAACCCTACGAAATCACACCAAGCACGTAATAGAAAGAGCAGTATCTGGACTCTCCAACTGACCTGCTCGTCTCGTTCTCTTGGCGCAGGTGGGGCTCGGTTTGCCCATTGCAGAGCTCGGAGTTTGTCGAGTAAAAACTTTTTATCTTTTCCTGCCTGTGGTCAAGACACATTTGATCATTAGCTGGAATGGACTAATCATTCTTGAGAGGCTCAAGGCCTGTGAGTAACAACTGACCTGAATAATCATTAAAATCCCTTTTGTTCTAAAATAATCTGTCTATAGGCAGCACAGTTTGAAAGCAAAATTATTTTGCAACAACTCTATTTGTGAGTGAAGTTTCTCTGCAATTCACATGGGGGAGGGTTCCCACCCTCCCTTGAACTGTCATAGGAAAAGCAGTTACAGCTCCACAATAGCAGGATGAGACAATCAAAAAGGAAGCCAAATTTTTAAAAAGATAAAGCTGAAAGTCAAACTTACATTAATTATTTGCTTACGTAAGAGTTTGATCGTGGTCCTTCTTCCTCGTACTATTTTCCAGTAAAGATAAGTGATAATTCTAAAAAAAAAAGAAAAAAAAAAAAGTGTCCAACATATGAGCACTCAGCACTCATGCCCAGGACTATTTTATTTCCTTCTAGTCATTGTCTAAGCAGAAAGTTACTTGTTAATTTTATCAATCAAAAGATACATATACACATTATCTGTACATGCATATACACACACACACATGTGTATATATATAATTATACAAGGAAGGGCAAGCACATGAAATTGCTTAAGACATTCTCTTGGAAGATTTATGGATGTATTCAAGATGAGAGGTACAGTTAAAGCCAGTCAACAATACAAGGTGTGTTTTAGAAAACAAACAGGAACCTAATGCTCTTATTCAACTCTGTGTCATTTGCTCAGACACGTGCCTGGACCTTAAATCCAGCACTGAATGCTCCTTGCTCCCAGGCCACCTCTGGTCCCACTAGAATGAGTGGGAATTTGTTTTATGAGAACAGGTTTGGGCTCTTAGGTGTGCGTGGCCCATGCTGGAAATACCAAGCAGAACAGCTCCAACATTAAACCCAGCGAGTGGGCACACAGCTCAATATGCACGGTCTTGCCAAAATAATTTCACCTCTGGGGGGGATCAAAAAAAAACCCCAAAGCAGCAATTGATCTTGCCAACTGTACACAGCATGTTCCCTTCTGCTGATGTTCTAAAGCTAAGTGTGCCATTGGTAATGACATCTGGAGCCTCGGCAGCAATAAACTAGCAATATTCCATTTATTAACTAAAAGCAGTATATCCTAGGATTAGCATGAAGCTGGTTTGTAAAGAGCTTTGGCATCCTAACATAAAAGGAGTTTTATAACCTCTTTATGTACTTCAAATACATGAATTTCCAATATATTAACCATTTCTGATGCTTTAAAATGCACTTTGCAATTTTTTGTTTTTAATGAAGAATGGCTAAGTCGTAGGCATTTTTTCCCACTTCAGGTCTTTTTCCAGTGCTTTTCATTAGCAGGTACTTACAGGGCAAGAACGGAGAGGATGAAGTAGAAAAGTACACTTGTAATTAAGTTATGGTAGATCCACACTACCCACTTTGAGGCAGTGTGATTTTCCAGCGTTTTTATCCACTCAGAGACTGCAGCATACATAGAAGACAAACCTCTGAAAGGACCACATTCTTCTGAAGGTTTTAACCTGGAGGCATGAGAAAACAGCTACTCAAAGCTTTGTATATTAACCAGTGATTGAGGTACTAGTGTGATTTTGTACATCAAGATGCTTGTTAGTTTGCTATAGCCCTCTGCTCTCTTTGGATCCTCAGGGAACTTCCATGATCTCTGTTTGAGTTTTAACTTGGGTCTATCTCCAGCGATTAAAATGCCCACCCCAGACCAAGCAGTGAGAGATAAGAGACCCCGCTGCGACAGATCCATACCAAACCCTGTAATCACAATCCTGACCTAAATGCAACAAGTCAATCACTGCAGCACAAGCTACAGCAAATTGTAAGGCTGGGTTTTCAGAGTTTCACCACAGGTGCTTAAGGGAACCATCATTTCACCTTGCTTTTGAGGACATGAGGCACCACTGATTTTCAGTACCAACAGGGTGCGGTGAAGTAAGGCAGCCCATAGCAAGAAACAACACTTTCAGGTAGACTGAAATAGGAAAGTGTTGTTCACTATGAGATGGAACCACTCCACAATGTCTGAAATTCCCACTTGCCATCTGGAAATGTTTGCTCTGAAATATTTCATCCTGCCTGGTTTCACGTGTAGCCATCCATCGTACTAAATACTGAAATCACGTGGCTGAGAATTGCCAAGGAAAAGGGGTACCCGTGCTGCCCTCCTTACTGGGACCCAAGTAATGTGCACATAAACAAAGCAGCTTTAAAATACTGGTAACAATCAAGATGCACTATTGAAGAGGTCAGCACTTCCTGCAAAAAGAGCCTTTGAAATTAGTAAATAATCCAGAAGTTGAGTTTTTCCAGGTGTTTCTTGACTGCAGGCCCAGCATGGCCTATAGCGTAAGTCCAGGAGCTAGGACTAAGTCACATAAACTTTTAAGGAGGAGGAAAAGCCAAATTTGCTGTCACATTTAAATAGGAACCCAAAACCTCAATGAAACTTTGTTTCTCCTCCCACTTTCTTACAGTACAAGATGCTGTGTTAATCACATTCTTGCAAAATCACCCATCATGTGTTGTTTTCAGAACACAGCACATCTCATGAACATGTGAAACTTTGCATCAGCAATTAATACAGCTTGGAAAATGCAGGTTCCTTTGCCTGGTATGAGGTCACACAGGATAATAAGTAGGCTTGAATGCCAGTGCTCTTCTGTACCTCCAGACAGTGACTCCAATGACAGACAGGACTCCAACGAAGGAAGGGAAAAACAACAGGAACATGAAGGATGTTGTCATTTGAGCAGTTTTCCAGACTTTGCGAGGGGGTTGGCAATTCATCATCAGGCTGACCTTTCAAGAGATGAAGGGACACTAGCTCTTGGAATGGTGTTATCTGCCACTTCTACTCAGTTTAAGTCAATCCTGCTGAAACTGCTGGCAGCAATTGCTGGCATAGCATCTATCAAAAGTTGCCAAGAACTACTTTTATAGGAATTTGATAGATATACTGTAGTTTTCTAACTTTCAAGAATATAAATTGTAAAAGGCAACATGAGGTTCTGCTGGGTTCTTCAGGACTCTGTTGGGGAGAGTTTGCTTTTCTAGCGTATGCAAACCCACGGTTCAGGGAAGTTTAAATCAATCTTTCCAGCTACAGCTTTGTTGTTCTACATTCAACACTATAAACTGTTCAATGACCCAACAAACAACCTCTCATCTAGTCATACTACTGAGACAAATATTTTTGAAAAGAAGAAATTTCCACCATGATCTTTAGCTGAATTGCCACGATTACACTTGGATAACTTGCCAGGGGGGAGGTGCTGCTGGGGAGTAAGCAGGAAACCAAAGTCACAGCCCCAGGCTGAGTGTCTATATGACACATGCACTTGTACACCCTCAATTCTCCAGCCTTTCATTTTACTACTTTATTCTCTCCCCTCTCTAACTGTGCTCTTAACCTTTCCTATGACCCTTCCACAATTCCCTAACCTCCCCAAGTTTTACAGGTTTGTAAATCAAGAGCATGCATCTAAATTGTGTTCCTTTAAAGCAAACCTCCCAGACCCTGATCAACCAAACTGCTCCTCAAAATATAAAACCTCACAGCCTCCAAACAAAACCAGCACTTCAACACAAATTCTGCCCAGATGTCATACACTGTAAGTTTATGATGAATACATGTAAAGCTTGTTACCTTTTTCACAAAAAATACTATAGAAAATGATATAAACTGGATACCAGGCAGCAGAGGTGAGAAGAGGATACCGATCCTACAAGAAAGAATTTATAAAAGAAAAGTTAAATCTTCACTATTGACCACACAGGTCTCAGTGCACTGAAAGCAGAAAATACCACACAAATTTCATATAAAGTTAGCCCTTGGTTAAGCACTAGCTTGTAAAAATACGCAACTTCAAACATACATATCTATGTACATAACTGCAAAACTCTCTTATAACGGGAGTGACGTACTCATTTTTAGAAATAAGGCATCTTTTCCAGGGTTTAATACTGAGATTATTTCAACAGGAACTCTATTCCAGTGAGGAAGTAAACAAAACTCTAGGGTGTTCTTTTTATAGGCTTCTCCCAGACCAGGTGGCCACAGGGTGAACTACTGACTCAAGTTATTGTTATTACCTGCATAATCACAAAGAGAACTGGCAAGTCACAACCCTTACAAAGGTACTTAATATGTCATCTCAAGCATTTATCATTTTCTTTCTCCCATGATGGAAAGCACCCAGAAATGCGTGAGTAAGAACATTCCATGATATTTCTAAGTGTAAATGAAGTCTTGGCCATAAATGTAAGACTTACCAGGTCAAAGTCTGTGCATAGATCAAATCTAAAACATTTCGTCCAATGTCAAATTCTGGCATCCCCAGGCTCACACAGAATGTTGTTCCAATAATTCTGAGGGGAAAAAAAAAAAACCACAGCACAATAGCATTTGCTAAGTGACAAAACCCTTTGCAGAAATCTCTACAAATGACCCCCTGAATTCAAGCATCAATGACAAATTATTCAGGGGCTGCATTAGCCACGTCATGCAAAGCAGCCACAGCTTCTTGATTAGACAGCACATAAAAAATTAGAAGTTGGCAAAAGTAGATTCCCATAACACACAGTAGAGTTGAAACAAGACCTAGGATATTCTTCATGCAACTCAAAAAAAAAAAAAAAAAAAGAGATGAAAAAAAGGGATTTGTAGCTATATCAGAAAAGTCTGCTTATGCTTAAACAGTTGAAATGGCAAGTTGGCTCAGTACAAAACTGTAACAGCTTTTCGGTTCCCAAGTCCTTAGAATCTTCAGCCTCAGTCAAAAAACTGAATCTTTTACACTGATATTCTTAATATACCCTAAAGTATATCCTACTTCAAACTAACTGAGGTTGCAAGTAGCTAGACATTTGCAGGTAAGCAAGTATTCCTACTGAGAATTCCTACTGAGGACCAACAATCCCTTTTTATCACCTCATTTTTCCTGAGTTGGGAAGATTCAGTTCCTGCTTGTCGTAGCAAGAACAATAAGGATTTTGGTAACTATCCCATCTTGCCCTGAATACAGGTCTTGGTACCACCATATCAGCTGCATCACCGACAACATTTTAGGGCTGGGATTTCAGGGCATTACTCTGAATACATACAAATAAATATGAGCAATTGTATTTTTTATCTTTCACAGCTGTAAGTCCAGTGCTTTTGCGCAGTTTAGTTGAGGACTCACATCACAGCTGACACTGCAGTTCTGGTACTGCAACCTTTCGCTGGGAGGTGGTTTCCTATCTGATCAGGATGGGAACAGGAGGATTAAAGTACAATGGCAAGAGCTGTGGAGGGAAAGTCTTCAAGGGCTTCTTAAATGTGTTTTTGTGTTAATTTAACACAAAGTTTACAAAGTCCTACCTTGTAAACCACCCTTGTTCAGGGCAAGCAATGGATCTCCTACACAAGCAGGGCAACCACTTAAACATTTTACTACGTTAAGTCATAGATAATGTTTGGCAATAAGAAGGTACACACAGCAGATGTCAGAAATAAATTACTTTTTGCTTACATGCTTAGCTGTGTTCATGTTCAGTTACTCAGTATTTTCTCACTTACTATGCTGCAGAACTCTGTACTTGAGAATCACGTTACATCCTTAATGGGACTGATTTAAATCAGGTTTTAAACTTGTGTGCACTCTGTAGACTGACATAGCTAAGAGGAAAAAGTTACCAGGGGACATATCAAGGCAAGTCAGCAGTGGGCCTGTCAATAGGCAGAAAAGCAAGGTTTTCTGCTTGAGACGCCTGGTCCTTTACCACCCCATGCAGGAGATCCATGGGAATACGATGTGCCTTCCTCCCTGCCTGTGCTTCCATCTCCAAAGGTAAAAAAGGACACATTGGAAGAGCAGAACGGTACACACCCGGACCTCCTCCTAAGAAGGACCTGCAATATATGCAAGGCATGTACCCAGAGACTGTGCCTGGTAGAGACAACCAAGGAAGCACACAACAGCCATGCTTCTGTTGGACTTTTCCTTTCCTCACATTGGAAAAAAAGACCATGTCTTTGGTTAAGGAATAAAAACAAGATTAGAAAAGTAGTACTCACCTTCGTAAAAACTCTCCAAAGAAACAGCCAAGCAAACAAAATATGAAGTCAACTAGAACAAGACGATAGATATCTTGGCCAATCTGTGTTTCCCAGCACTTTAAAAAGCAGAAGAAAAAAAAAAAGTACATCCAGAAGTCAAAAACCACGTGATTCTAACATTGTTCCCAAATGCTTGAGCATCTGAAACTTGAGCTATGGATGAAAGATTTGCTAACAGCCTGACTAATCACAATCAGCCTCTCATTGACCAGTGCTGCGAAACAGCTGAGACCCGAGCTGGGCGATTCATTCTTTCCTACAGTTCATTTCTCTAAAGAAGGTAGTAAAAAAACGTCAGGGCGGCAAATTCAGCTTTCCAAGACACTACACGTACTTCTCTTTGCTGGAGCAAGCCTCTTATCAAAGTGATTTCTAACCTGGCATTGTGAGTCAAAGATTTGTATTTTTGCAACTTTACCTGTGATTCTGATTCAGCCACAACGTTAACCCAGTAGTAGCACAGGATTCCAATGATTGATATTTTCAGGATGATATTTCTAAAAATAAAAAGTAACAGTAATTGTGCTGACAGCTGGTCTGTAAGCTCACTAGAGGGAATGATGGCAGGATGACCGTTGGTTACGCTGTATTACCTCTTCTTATAACAACAATAGCACCGCAGGGTGCCTGGACCAACAGGAGCTCTCCTCTGAGCTTGGCTCCATTATTATTCTTTTGTCCTGGCAGAAGGGGAGCTGGGCATGAGAATCTGGGCAGACACCTCTGCTAAAAAGGCTGCTGGTTGGGTGTGTGGGTTCCACAGGGCAAGAAGGTCTGAGGGGCATCAGGGGTTACACGGTGTTAATTCCAGGCATCTGTATTTAAGTAAGACCTCCCCTCTTTTCTCTCCCCTTCCTTTCTCTGGGGGGCCAACAGCCCAGGAGTCACTGAGGGCAACTACAAACAAAACCAAGCCCAGTGTCACAGTGTGCCTAATTGAGAGGGAAACCATACCCCATCTTCATGGAGAGATGTAACACTCTAGGAGGTTCACAGAAGACAAACAAAACATGGAGGGAAGCATACATGCTTCCCTACAGAAGCCTTTGGAGAACATGAATTCTTCTCCATAGCTCCCTACTGTCCACCACACCACCTAGACAGCCTGCTGTCAAAAAGAAGAGTCAGACAACTTCAGGCAAAAAGCGCTACGAGGTGGTAGCAACAAATACCTGATAATAGTGACATAGATGTGGTGTCCAGGAGTCTGATATCTCTCCAGGTGTCCAAGCCACGAGTAGAAAAATGGGATGAATGCATTGAGGAGAGATGTGACAATAGGAAGCACCAACATAGCAGCTTGGCTCTCTTGGTCATTTTTATTTCCTGCCACAAACAGCTTAGAGAGAAAAAACAAACAAACAAATCAAGCAGAGAGCCTTAATCAAAATGCTGCTGCAAGTTGTTTCTACAGGGCAGACACCTGGCACACCTCCTTGTCTGTTCTCTGGTTAGGGACTATCATGTTTTACGGGCCTATGCCCAGCAGCACAGCAACCCTCTCCCCTTTGCCTGCATTTCGTGGGAGCAAGGGCAGGAGCCCCAGCTTAAATGCAGCTCTGAGGCAAAGGAGAGGCAGGCCTTGCCGAGGCTGCTTCTTGCCATTTCTTCCAGGGTCACCAGATGCACTACCCCTCAGATAGCCACGAGCCCAGGCAAGCAGCTGCTGGGGTGAGGGGAGAGATTTGCTCAGACCCCTCGGGTTCTGCGCTCTTTCAGTAGTCCCCAGTGGTGCAAGTCTTTGCAAACCAGCTTTTTAGGTACAGTAGCATTTGTGTTTGCCTTGGCAGAAATACCAGCTATGCTTCCCTGTGGTCCTAGCAGTGAACAGACCACTGCTTGCACTCAGTGCAAGATAACCATGTGGAAAACCACATCTCCAAAATCTGTCCTTACCTTTAGGTTATTAGTGGAGAGGAAGTAAACACCAGCACAAGCACCTACTGCTGTTCCCAGGGAAGCAATCCAAGAAACAAGATGAATAACAATATGAACAGCTCTTTCTTTTACAGAAAAATTTAGTACTTCTCTGTTTACTTCAGCGAGGTCTTCCTGCAAGGAAACAATTCCTAATGAAGAATTCCTTACTCAACAGCATAAAGCAAAACTTGTTTCAAGTAACTACTTGAGAGACTGAATGAAAGATTATTTCTCTAGAAGACTGGCAGAGTAATATCCTGAGAACATTTACTGGACAACTCCTACCCTAAAAGTCTTTTCTCAACAGTTACACTGCATTTCACAGATAATATTAAAAGCCTGCCTTTTGTTTGCCAAATGGTTAAATAGCAGGAAGGAAAACCAGAAGAAATATTCTGTCTGGCAAATATTTAATAGTCACAGGGACTCATTCAGTAGAACAGAAGCACACAAATATTTATATGTAGCTTAAAGAGAAAAGAAAAGCAAGTGGCTAAGCCAACTCCAGGAGTTCAAACCAAATGAGATGTAATAGGACAATTTAAGCCTATTAGGAACAGGACTAGCATGCCTGAGTCACTCTGCCAGAGACTTGTATGTGCATACACAAATTTGTGTGTGCAAATAAGTCTCTGGCAGAGCAATTCAGGCATGCTAATCTTGTACCTTTCTACCTTTTTGTACCTCTCTACCTTTTTGTACCTCTCTACCTTTTTGTACCTTTATTTGTGTGCTGAGATTCTTCTGTTTCAGCTTCACAGCTTTTTCATTACTTATATTGAAGTCCCAAGTGCAGAGAATTTTGCTAGCATTTCCAGAGTATGTCTGAAGGTCCATGAAGTTCTTGCAGAAGGATTTTGCCATGCTGCAATAAAAATCAAATTTGTGAGATGCCTAATGGGGAAATACATCAAATCTGTACAGCAGGGCAAGAAGGGAGATCTGTCATTTTTTCTATCCCATCCCAAGGATACTGGACCTGCGTTAGAGCATGTCACATATGACAACATGGAAACTAACTTTAATATGAGAAACGTCTCTCACATTTCTTTCTCCTAGTGGTTGCTGACAATCTTTAACTCTGGAAGGCCACGTCAATACCAGAAGATATTAGGAGCAACAGCTTACAAAAGTGGGATCATGATATTCATTGGTTTGAACTGTGATTCTCTGCATTTTCCTTGCTATTTTGCAGTTATTCTTCAATTGTCTAATAAAGGTTTGGCTCTGGAAACTGTCTTTTGAGCAGAAACTTCTACTTAAATTCTACACTTGGAAATAGGACTTACAGAAACACACTCAAGCAATCGTTACTGCCAAATATTGACAGGGTGGGGTTTTTCTCTTCCTGTTGGTTTGGGTTTTTTTTCACCTTAATATAAGTGAACTAAGAATATATATTTAGCTTACCTGAACAACAAGGTAAAAAAACAGATGACAAAATACAGTCCAACGGTGAAAATATAGGCCAGCTGCATGTTGTAAGATGGACCATTCTGTATTTTATGGATTGTAGCATTGGTGTAAAAGCCATAGTAGAGTACTGTTTGTTGAAAATAACCCTGAAAAGATATAAACATCATTCAGAATGTTTGCTCTCACCTGCATATGGTGGGAAGTGCCATCACCTGAAGCCCAATGCATCAGAATGAGTTCCAGTCACCTCACTCAGAGTCAATGTTTGTTGCAGCTTCTTTTTCAAATATGTACTAAATATTGTTTCTAGTCACATGAATTTCTAAGTCCACCTCTTAATAAGAAGCACTTTTTTACTCTACTGTGAGTTTTTTAAGTAGATCTGTTGAACACAGTGCTAACAAATCTGTTGTTACATACTTACAGCTCCAGTGAACAGCTCCAGACCCGTGAAGGAAAGGTTATTTGGTTCTGCTGCAACAAACTGAGGGATTGTGATGAAACTGAAGTTTATGAGGAATGAGAAGATGTTGAAAGTTAGCAGCCACTTCAAGAAAATAAAATAAGAAAGAACACTTGTTCCAAAATTGGCACCAATGATCTTCAGAGCCCTGTGCCAAAACCACAGCAGGTGAAAATATTCAGACAAGCTATTTCCAAATCGCCGGAATGACTGAAGTGCAAAAGAGAAGAAAGAGATGAATGTCAGTGAACCATCCTAAATAGGACTGAAATTCACATAAAAAGGCCTCACATTTTTTACAGTTCCATTTTGATGATACGAACAGATTTCCCCCACTACATGTACCGTAAGATGCTTAACTGGTATTCCTAAGTGCTACCATAATGCAAGTCATTATTTATGAACACTGCAGCAATTAATTGGTTCGTTGGTAAGTAACATAAAGCAAGATACCAGATACCTCTGGTGACAGCGATAACATTGCACCTAAAGTGGTTTACTCTCTTGTGACTGACAGAATGTTGACACTTACCACTGCTGTTCCCTGCAGACACTGTGTACAGCAGGAAAGTTGACTACTTGATTTTTTTGTTATTTCTTTAAGAACTTTATTCCTGTGGAAGAGCAGGGCAGGGGATGACAAGCATTATAAGTATGGGTTGCAATTAAAACACGAAGCCAAAGAAGCAGCTCCAAATAGTTTCACACATGCACATGAAGAGTTAATAAAACATGGAGAGGTTCTGCTAGTTCTTTTTCTATTAGCTGATACCACGGCTCTTGTCCATGCTATGACAGTATGTTCTAACCCCTCCACTAACTCATTCTGGCAACAAAATTTAAATATATTCTGTGAGGAGACAAAAGAACAGTTGAGACCATGTGGTCTCTTCTCCATTTTCATTGGCCAAGGTTCCTTTGAAAAGAAGTCTCAAGTCATCATTCATAACCAAATCTCAAGGCCTTGATATTCTGTTTTATATTACCATGAGTTAACTCTTCTTATCCAGAGAAAGAACAATGAACCACCTTTAAATTGTTTTCCCTTGCAAGATGTTAACTTTTTAAAAGTGCATTAAAAGTACTTTCAGTTCTTTCAAAGTGACAAACTAAAGCTAAGCAGATGGCTAACACTCATACTTGATAGCTAGATGTTGAAAGTATAGTGTTTCTAAAACAAAACAGATGAACTTTTATTTTTACCTGATTTCTCTCTTTTTTTTCATGGTCTCTGGCATCTTTTGGATTGCTTTAATCCTTTCGCTGGTAGACATACTTGCAAGGTTTCCAACTAAATCTTCCTCTGCATAAAAACCATGACAAATCCAAATTTTGGGATAATAATACAGTAATTCTTATACAAAACCTGAAATGGATATCATAACATTCCCCATTTGCACTGCTACCAAGGTGTGGCAAGCTCTGAGACTTAATAATACTCCCCAGAATATCCTCAGCTCCATCAGTACTCTAATACAGATGTAAGCAGTACAATACTGAATGTTTAAAACTAAACATCACTTGTCTGATGCTTGTTTAATGTTAACACAAAGAGCTGCAATATTAAGGAAAACGAAATACTGACAAACTCCAAGTTTCTGGTCTATTACTTGATCACTGTTTGATAGTTACATTTCTGTGATGCCACGTATTGACTTGAAAGCTAATTTTTGTTTTATTTACTCCATAATTTCAGTTGATGCTAGTGCCCAAACATAGTGCTACCTATGAAATAGGCAGAACTGTATTACTTGACAATCAGGCTGGTTTTGCATAATTGGAATTTGCTGCTAATTCTAGATGCAGTGGCTGAAAACAATCCATTAGCTGGTCAAACAAGTTCTAATAAAGAGTTTAGCTTTTCTTTCTACAATTTAATACATATTCACACTGTGCTGTGCTTCATTTATCATGGGATCTAAGAGTGCTACTACAGTTTAAAAGATTAATCATTAGTGTTAACACACAACCAAGCTGTCCCCATAACCACAGAAAGACTGTACATGAAATTCTGGTGATAAATCAAGAATATTACCAACCACACCATCTTTGTGCAAGATGCTATTCAGTATCAAACCATTTATCTAAACCCCTACCTTCTTTGCGCACTGGATCTATTTCAAACAGGCCAGAAGAAGCCATGAAGATCTCATCAGGTGGTCTTCTTCTGCGTCTCCGAGTAAAGCTGTCTAAATAACATTAACTGTTTAGTAAGCCCAGATACTCCTGAAAAGTTGACTTAAGAAATTTAAATTTCGCTTGCGCAGAAGCAACTTAAAAGTATCCCCTTCAGCGTCACTACCTACATGGAAACACATAGTCCCTCACTCACTCCTTTCCTGGTTATGCTTGACGACCATATGCAATTTTTCAGATCCATGCTGGAAAAGAGCTACTAAGCCCAGTGTTCAGCTGCCACAGAAAACTTCATCAGTTAACCCATTCATAAATGTGCACACTGATTGATCAAGACTTCATCCTAGAAGACAGGTCCTTCCTTTAAAAATCCTTCCACTGACTTCAGAGGGACTATTTTAGAATCACACTCAATCTTGCTGAGTAAGTTTTATGTACCAGACTCCAGTTTCCCCGGGGCTAAAATGCAACTGTTCTCTCAACCTTCTTTCATCCAATTATTCAAACATGGGTGACTATATTCCTTAAATGCATCTGCCTTCCAGCTATGAAGCAGATGAGTTTATCCACAGCTTTCCTTGCCAGCTAAGGGCCAGTCTGTGCAATGTCTCCCTTTTGACCTCAGCTTTCTGGTGTGGAAGGCCCCAACTGACTGACACTCTTGCCAGGTACTGCGCATGGTGCGGGCTCCTTCACCATATTTACTATTTAGATCTAATGGTCCCCTGAAGTTAGTGTCATTTTCACTTTGAGCCAACTTTCTTTGTGACAATTAAAAAGAATCCAAAAAAGAAAAGCATAGAGAAGCATGCATGCCTCCCTGTGGAGCTACTTCGTGAACTTTCAGCACTCAGACATTTATCCTCTAGTTAACTTTGTTGGAAATGCACTCTCTCCTTCCTATCAGGTATTAAAAGCCACATATGATAGTTAATGTTTGGAAATGTCCTATTTCTGTGGTCACTCATGGAGCGAAGCATTTCCAGGTACCAATAAAATCATTGCTTTTTAATAAAAACACAGTATTTTGCTAAATCAGATCTTAAATTAAAGACCATGCTCTTAAAGATGAAAAAGAAAAAAACCTAAGAATCCCTCACTTTGGGGGCACAGAGAGATGGTTCTTCAGGTAATAATTCCAGAAGACAACTCTTATTTACATTCCAGAAGCAGCAGACAGGAACCAAACTGGTTGTAACAGAAAAATTACAAGATATGGGAAGAACAGTTCCTACCCAGAACATGAACAATGAACTACTATGCTAGCCTAAAATAGAACCCAGATTACACTATTCCAGACCCCTTGGATTTTAATGAATGTAAATATCTGATTATTATTATAGTCTAGAATTTACACGGAGACAAGGTAGTGAAAAATTCACTAAAGAGTCTCAAAAACTCATCCTGTGCTTCCTTTATTTCCTCTCACAATGAGACTCTTCAGATAACTGTGTAAGTTTGTTTTTACATTGATCCACTTACAGAGAGTTTGGGTTAAAATGGGTAGGCATTATATCTTTCATTGCTCAAGAAACATAGATCATCACCTGCAGAAAGATGCTGAAAAATTCAGCTGCAACTATGTAGGACAGTAAAAGAGAACATATATTCTATGATTCTTTTTGTTACCTGAAAATCTTCATACCTGAACCAGAAGGATTTTAAATATTTAATTATTTTATGGAGGGCAAGACTGACATGCAACATTCTAAAGCACCACAATCATTATGTCTTACCTTCTGATACATCGGAAACTCTGTGGGAATAGGAGCGATCCAGCGGATGGAAGGCAGGAGGTGGGGTGTACGCCAGCTCTGGCTCAGGCTCAAAGGAAGGATTATCTGTTGAAGGGAATCACAATTATACAGAAAGTTGTATGCTGCTATGGATTATTTACACACACAGAACATCAGCCGTATTGACCTTTACTTTACTTTTGCTTTACTGCAAACACAGCAATATACCCCATTAACAAAACTCCTATATATCACTCCAATGTACATCCTAGTATTTAACAACTATTGCAGTCCATTTACCAATAGGGTAATACAACAGACACTTCATGGATCTGTTAATAGAACATCTGAACTACTTCTAGGAAAAAGAAGAAAAAAAAACCCACAAAAAACCCCCACTGCCACCAGATACAAACATGTACAGAGCTGAGTTTTCCAGAGCTGCAGGACCCCCTCAGGACAGAGTAAGCCATTATTTGTTCTGGTGCTTCTGTAAACTGTTCACATGAGAAATTACATACATGTGGAACTTCCATATGGACTTCTGCTTAAGACATTAGCTCTTGGTAAATCTTCGCTGTATTCAGAGCCATGTCTCATGGAGGCCATTGGAATCTCCAGAGGGTAACTCTGTCCTCTTCCACTCTGCTCTCCATAGGAACCATGCAGTGAAGAATCATAAGGGGTTTGGTGAGAAAACAGATTCTTTTGAGAACTCCTCCTATGTGAGCAACAAGAAGGAAAACCCTGAGTGCCACAAAAACTCTAAATAGACATTGTTAATAAATTGTTACCTATTATCTTCAAATTTGAGTACATTATAAAGCAAACTGTGATATTGAGAGGTATTTAGAACTCCAACATCAGAACTCTGATTTGGTCATCAACTGAATTAGAAAGACTAAGACTTTTCTCCACTTTAAGTTAGTTTGGACTCTACCTAAACAGAAATAATTTCTTGGAAAATGACGATATCCAAGGTTATAGCACATTGTGAAAATTACTGGAACTAAAAGATATCCATGACATTATGCCATAAATCATAAAATACATTTAAATTATGAAATTAAACTAACACATAAAGAGCAAACATGCTATTTCTCTTGAATGCTGCCTTCCTGATAACAGCTTTGAAAATCTGTGTCCGAGAATGCAAGCATAAAGGAGGGATTAAAAGAATTCCACAAATTAAAACTCTGGAGAAAAAGTTTCTCCTTCATATAAACAGATAATTTAATTTCTTATAGCACAGTCACAACAGCAAAATTAAATAGACTCACCTTCTATCAATTTCAAGTGTCTCTGAGAAGTGGTAGTCTGGATCTTCAAAGGCTTCATTGTAATGATAAGACATGACAAGTCCTTCGTGTGAGAGAAGAAATCTTCTTTATTTTTGTCTCTACTGCTTCATTAATATGTTCATGAGAAGACTGATCACAGACCTAATTACAAAACAGATGCATGTACATATAAAATGAAAAGAAAGGAACTTCACTTTTGCATCATTGCTACACTGACAATGAAGCCATGTTTTAGAAGCAAGGAACTTCATTTTTGCATCATTGCTACACTGACAATGAAGCTACATATAAAATGAAAAGAAAGGAACTTCACTTTTGCATCATTGCTACACTGACAATGAAGCCATGTTTTAGAAGCGTGTCAAAGTGTTGAGAAGAAAATAACTTTTCTCTTTCCTCCTCATACAGGAAAAGCCAAATACACAAATTTTCCTCCAAGTACTTCATTTCCAAAACCAAAAAGATCTACCCACATCCTTACTATCAGTGGCATCTCTAAGCCTTACTTATGAACAAGGGACCTCCTGGACCACTCCTACGTACAGAGCTGATGTAATCATCCACTTTTAATGACGTCTTTTCTAATGACTTAATGTCTCGATCCTGTAAATAGATTTGGTTTTAGCTTTATTTCTCATCAAGTGCTCCATTTTAGTCTTAAGCGAACCAGACTTGGTCAGAGTTTAACATGTAGAAGTTCAGGTAAGTCAGTGAAAAGGGAAACTTCCATTAGAAAAACAGAATCCAAATTAGACAGGCAGTTCTTGCAATTAATAAAAGTCATACTCAAAATCAAAAATGACGTAATTTTTAGCATTTGTTCTTAAAAACACCATGCCAAGTTTGATCAGCTGGCAAGCTATTCAAGAACAGGGAAGGAAAAAAATCAACAATAAAGGACACATCTGACAAAACTCATCAGATCTTGCTTTTATCTCAGCTCTACTCCTAGAAAATCAAAGCTGAATCTCATTTAATGCTACAATCTCAACCAACTTTTCCGTCTACAGTGGTTTTTATTTGTGATTTCTACTGCAATATAGGAAGTAACACATGAAGAAAAGTATTGTCAGAATGGATAATTGTACAGTGTATAGTTTCTGAAGTCTTGTCAAAATCTTCTCTTTTTGCCAAAAGCAGCTTTTAAATTACTACTGTGTCATTTACATACCTAAAGATCTTAGAAGACAGTCTAAAATTTTGCAGTGTGACATACAGTTCTAAAACACTGCCCAGGTTCTGCACACTGACTCGCAAAGAGATCCGCATATAAACACAGGTGATCGATTGAATTCAAAGTCCTACATTTAAATCAGAACTTTGTCTGCACTTTCATTATAGCATGGAGCACGCTATGAGGCCCACATCTTTAGCAAACATTCAGTAAAAAAGCATACCAGGCAATCTGAATATATGGTACGTCACTCATCCCCTCTGTAAATACTGGAATGTGATTACTGCCAACAAGAAATTATAAACATGGCCTCTCCTAGGCAAAACTTGAGGGTTTTTTCAGGCAACAATTTCACAGCTACAGAGACAGAGTGAGATTCTCACGTATTCAGGAAAGTAATTAGCAGAGCCTCCTCCCCTTATCTTTAAAGAAAACCAAAAAAAGCTCCAGGAATCTAAGGCTCTTACATAAATGTCATGAGAAGTTTAAATCTCCTGAGAGGTAGGTTTTCTTTGACAGGAACCAGTTAGCTCTTGATGATCTTTTGAGAACTAGCTTAGAATATATATGAAGTTTTATACAAACTTCAGGAATTAGTACATTCTATCCTTATACTCTATTAAAAAGCATGAAAAGAATTATTGCAAAAGATAATCATGGTCTTCTGCAAAAAGTTGCTTGGACAACTAGATTTCCCTCTGTAAGTGTTTTACATTTCAAATTGTAATGAAAAGCTAAAGAGGAAAAGATAACTTTCTCAGGGGAAGAAAATTCTTAGACAATTCCCTTTGAAGAGTGTGCAAAATTACATTTTTCTACTTTTTAACTGGTTTCCCAGGATCCCAACTCACTCAGGCTCAGCCATCCAGAAAGCTGGGAAACCTGCCAGCAAAGCAGCTGGAAAGCTGACCACTGATCTACACACTGATCTAAACGTGCCTGGTCTTCAGTCAAACTGTAGAGAGAACGGATATTTTGATGGAAATGTACAGGTTGTGTAGAATCAGCATTCTCCAGAAGCAAGCTCATAGGAAGCATCCACCAGCTCTATCAACCAACTTGAGAAAGGGCAAGCAACCAGAAGAAACAGATCAGCCTGACTAAAAAATACATCCATCACTTCTTTCTCTTACTCATTTTAAAGACCTCCAGGCACACCCGTAAAGGCTTGCTAAGACACTCACAGAAGCCCAAGACAGTCACTTGGTTCCATCATTAACCACTTTACTTCCTTTGAGCCTTAAGATCTGTTTTATGGCAGGATTTCTACGAAAATCCACAGGGACATTTATAGTCTAACACTGAACGCAGCATGTTCTGCCACACTGTTTTTTTCTCCAGTCCCAAAGTTTTAAGGATTTTAAATAAATTCCCCCTGTACACTGAGGCAAATTCAAATCTTTGCATTTAATTTCTGAAAAAAATGGAGATTTTCCTCCTGCTACCTCAGAGCATTAGATCACAAACTGTGAGGCATTTGCAGTGAGCAAGAACGTGAACATGGATAACCCTTGTGCTTCTTCATTGAGGCTGCAGTCACTCAAAGATTACTGTGCTACTTGGTACCTAAACGTTGTCCGGTGGGATGGAGGTGTGTATGAGCACACACACTCAGGTTGTGGGTAGGATGCCAGTGGCGTACAGATAGCATGGCAGGGGCATACAGGCAGCACATCAATCCACACACTTCCTCCATCCCCAGCCCAAAGATCATGAGAAACGCTTCCTGTCAAATCAGATGCCAACATTATGGGTTCAGTTTGGGGTTCGGTGGACTGGCATTTTAGAAATTTCTGACCAGTCACAGTTCATCAGAATGAGCACTACCTGCTTCGGGTTCTATCTGAACCACCTCTTTCTTCTTTTTGACCTATGATGGGATGCAGTAAACTACAGCTCCAGGAAAAGCTATGACACTTAGACTTAGCTTTCCCTTTAAAAAGTTATTTTCCAGAAGGAAAAAAACAATAAATATTTGGAGAACAGAGGTCATTTGTGAACGAAAGATAAAAAGCAGGAGCTTGACAAATCTTCACTTTGCAGACTGGTGTCCATTTGTTGGACAACATCTTGGATTCCAGCAAGCAACTAGACAAATCTTGTGTCTCCTCCTCTGGAGGACAGAAGAGTTTAAGATCAGTGGGTTTAATAAACATCAATATGTAAATAAGTTACAGGATAGGTGGAGAGTGAGTGCTTTCCTCTTAGATCATTCAACACACACTGTAATGATATAGAACAGGAAACTCCAAGCACTGCAGACTCAAGCTTTTGGATAATTTCCCAGAAAAATAACTGCCTTCACGTCACAGATCAACAGCCTTGACAACATACTCCGGGTTAGTTTCATCCATTCCCGTACAGGTAACTCCCCACTATAGACATTAATCCTCATTTAGAATGTAAATCAAACAAACATGAATGTCTTGCTAAAACAGCACTTTGTCCTGGTATCAAGTTTCAGGAAAGCCACTTAGATCTTCAAGTCCTTTACCTGTAATCCCTCAGTAAAAAAGGGTTACAGGAAGTAAATTCTACTTACACACATCTTGAAGAGGAATGGAAACAGTAAGTTCCAGAACTTTATCACAGTAATAGAACTCATGGAAGAATTGATTCAGAAGGTTGAATGTGCTCTATTTCCATAAAGATCTTTTAGTTTTGTAGGATACGACTGGACAGGGCTTCACTGTTATCCAAGTTTCTTTTATTCATGAATCTCTGTCCTGTTTAACATGTCCCACACAACTTCATACTGAAAAATCAGATTGATTTCTGGAAGCCAAAAGTGAGCTTGAGGGACAGACCAGAGTTAAAACTAGATTAACATGCTGCATCAGCAACTAGGTTCCAGTACTGACTACTACTCTTCCACTATCTCAATCCCAACAGTTTCAAGATTGCTGCAACAAACCAGGAAAGCCTCTCAGAAAATCTAAAGAGCTTGTGAACTGATGCTAATCAAACACAACATTCACGAAAAACTGATCTTTAATTGACATATTAGCAATTAAAAAAACATGACTCATACAAGGAAGTGAAAGCCACTTACCTTTTCTGTATATGCCAAAGTACCCAGTCTGCACCAAGAAACGCTGCCTCTTAAAGGCCTTCAGCTGTGGTTTTATTGATATCAGCAGGGTCAATTACAGAAGCCAACTTCAACTTTGTTATTTTATACCTTCAATTTTAGCAACACAAATCGTGCCCTTGCTACAGAAGATCTTCCCAGTGAAAGAGATGACGTGATAGCACTAAAGACTCATCTGCTCATTACTGTATAGGCAAAAGGACAGACAACCAAATTGGGAAGGGAAAGGAGAGTGACAGCATCCCCATTACAGTCGCAATGCTGCTGTCTCTCAACAGCTTGTGGAAACTTGAGCTCACAAAGGAAGGTATTTCCTAGTCCCATAGCGCAATCCTACCTACCAGAATTCAGATCCCAGCCTCCCTGAACCCCCAGCCCTTCTTGGTGAGAGTGAGGTGCAGGGTAACCAGGCAGGCTGGCAGAAGCAGGCAAAGCAGTGTTTGTCTGACACGAGGGACCCGTCCAACTATCTCTGCCCTCAGCTGGCTGCTCCCATTGTCTCCAGCTCCTGCTTCAGTGTCATGAGCTCTGCTCCTTATCTGTTCTCTATCCATTTTTTGCACCTACTCGCTTCTTTGCCTTGTCCGTTCCATTTAACATTCCTCTTGTAATTTCCTCTTCCTTCCTCCCAAATATACTAAGACTACAGTATTTTCATCCTGTTCACTTGTTTGCAAGTTAAATCCCTTTTATCACATGTAGCTGCTTAGATAAGACTTTTGGAGAAGGACTGCCAACTACTTTGCAGTATCTCAAGCAAGATTCTACTTCTTCACCTGAGTTTAGACACCTTTATTATAAACATGCTCCTGAAACATTGAAAAAAAAAAAAATCATTACAACATACAGTTAAATTTTAGTGTCCAGTAAAGTGTCATAAAGATGTGGCACGAGCTTCAGAGTTTTTGCTTAATGGCAGTGGGTGAGAGTTCAGATACTTCATTTAATTCTGTGAAATTTATTGTACCCTCCCCTAATCTGCCACACAAAGCCTTGCTTCTCCACACAAAAGGCCCATGGGATCGCAATTCTTATGGACTGAAGTACACATCACTGTGATTTTGCATTATCTAATCCTTTCCTCAGAGACCCCTTAGAGAGCAAGTTACTCTGTGTTTGCTGCTTGGTTGCTTTTATGTTCTTAACTCTGACAAATTGCAAACTATGGAAAAACTATGAACACTGAGTAAAGAGGAACAATCAGGGATATATAACTACTAAAATTAGTTATAGGGAACTGAAGAGTACGAACAGCATACCTGGCAGAGAGAGGAAAGATTAACAAGAATAAGGAACCACAAACAGAACTTTTCATTATTTTTTTAACACTTGAAAGACGTTACCTGTCTCATAGTCTCACCATCATGGGGAAAGAAGGCCAAGGCAAGAATCACTTCACATTGGTACAAGTCAGTCTTGTGACTAAGTTTCCAAAAGGCAGACTATCATGCTCTTTGTGTATAGCAGGACTAAATAAATCTTGCTTTGCAAAACAAGTTTTTTAAGTCTGTCTATTAACCAGCATTACCGGCTCCTTGTATTTGGAGGAAATGTCTGGTTACGGAAAAAAAAAGCAAGCTGTTTTTGAGTACCTTTTTGGAATTAGTTTTTTGCTTTCAGTGAGAAGGCAGCCCATCACACCAGGTCTATTAGAGGTACGAGATACTGTTTACTAGAACAGTTCTAGCGTTTTGCCTTAAAAGAAAGCTTTGTTCATTCTGTGCTTGCAATGGATACCTATCCAGTTTAAATGCAACCTTCAAATTATACTTTAATGAGCAGTATCAGTTATAGGAGTGTCATTCACAAGTTCAATTGGAAAACCTTAAGAACTACACATATGGTCATTTTAGATAATAATCAGGGGTTTAAAGATACACAATGTTGTTGAACTAAAAAAAGGACATTGTTCTGTTTGTAATTTCTAGCTTAACTTCCTGTTAAGATATTGTGATCTTACTATTATTTGCACAACCAGCATTTAAGATGGTCCTGAGGGAAAACAAAAGCTATTCACAACATTCTAGGAAATCAACTAAGAAGCTAGAAAATGGCTGGGGAGAACTAGTCAGAAGAAAAGAGAATCAGTTTTGTCACAGAGTTTCTCCTAAGTCTTCAAAATCCTTGTACGCAGTTTTCGCATTGTTGAACAAATACTTTCACATAAACTAAATCCTTTTTTTCAGCCACAATACAGCTACGTTAAAATGCAGTGTAACACGTTAGTATGTTAGGGCTACGTTCTACAATGAACATACAGAAGCTATGCACTGTACAAGTCACAATGAGAGGCTTTTTTACAAAAATGTGAAACAGGACACTGCCGTTGTGTGGAGTTCCTGTTATGCCAGCACATACAGCCATACCGTACCTCTTCACCACTTCATGGCAAGAATAAAAGTCCTCCCAAACAAGCATACTCTAGGGGGAAAAATAAACCAAAGCCAAATAAACCAAAGCTGAAATAAATTGTTTTGGGTGGAGTACTGACATATCAGCCTGGAACGGGTGCCATTTCAACTACACTGTTTAGCACAGCCTCTTGGTTTGGGCTGGGAGAGAGTTAATTTTCTTCCTAGTAGCTGGTATATTGCTGGTTTTTGGATTTAGGATGAGAACGATGTTGATAACACACTGATGTTTTAGTTGGTGCTGAGCAGGGCTTACACTAAGTCAAGGACTTTGCAGCTCCTCATACCACACTGCCAGCGAGGAGACTGGGGGTGCAACAAGAAGCTGGGAGGGGACACAGCCAGTGACACTGACACGGCACTCACACTTGGAACTATCACACCTTGAACATGTTCTAAAGCTAAGAACTGGCTGCTTCTGGTACATGGGGCAGGATCAGGCTGCTGTGGGTCCCAGGACTGGCAGAGGAGACCGCAGTGAGGCGAGGTCAGTGGAAGCAGAAGTTAGCACAGCTCCCTTGGGCTGCTCGCAGGTTTGCTTACTAACAGAGCATTTCTAAGGGACAGAGACTTGGCGATTAAACCTTGGATGTAAAGATTTGGCTTTTAGATGAACATTTAATATTCTGCATAGAAACACTTCAACCTTTGTTGGTCAGGGCACAAAGGAAGAGACCGGAGAAAAAGAGAGCAGTATTTAAATAGCATGCCTGTGTGGTTTGACCACAACACGTGAATACTTAAACCTGAGACTCTTCCCATTTATTTAATACAAAAGTACTTCTGGCTTCCCGTTACCTACAGTAACATGCAAACACCTGCTATTTGGAAGATGCAGTGCCACGTTCATTCACTAGCTAGCACACTCCAACACGAAACCTACACCAAAGCAAAAGCAGGTATCACGCTGCAAACTGGTGATCCCAGCAAGGCTGGTGCAACAGCTCACAGCCTGAAGTGTGGCACACTGGCTAAACGCATCAGGGAAGGATGTGGCTGTTAATTCCCCACGGGACCAACCTCTCCAGCTGAAGACAGTGGAAGCTCGTATGTGACTAACAGAGTGATAAAGCCATGACGTGCCACGCAGCACGGCTGATACCAAGGTCAGGGTGCTGCTCCGAGTGGCTATTCACCACCCAGACAGCAAAAGGCAAATACATCCCTGAGTACACATACAGTACAGCCCTGTAAGTTCTATCACTCCAAATTAACAGCAAGAATTATTAAACTTCATAACAGTTTAAACTGGACCTGTCAGGCAGTCCAGGTGACTCCTCCAGGCCAGGTGCGTGGACAAACCACCTTCCAGCCCCGCCACCGGAGAGCCGGTCCACACCTTGCCCGGATCCCAGCCAAGCTCCAACCCCCGGCAACTGCATCGCGCCCCGCTGCCGGCGACCCCGGCTCCACCGAGCGCTACCGGGATGGCAGAGCCGCAGCCCCGAGCCCCGGAGACGCCCGGTGCCGGCCGCTTACCTGCCCGCTCCCTGCTCGCCCGCGCCAGGTGCCTCGGTGTCCGCGGCGGGAGCCCCGGGAACCGGCACCCCGCCCCGCCCGCGGCTCCTCCCGGTCCCCGGTCCCGTCTCCGCCCTCATGCCGGGGGGTACCGCCGTGGCTTCTCTTCCCCGCGAAGGGGCTGTGCACGGCGGAACTGTACCCCCCGGAAAGCAGGGAGCTGAAATCCTGCTCTTACAGCTCAAAGACAGAAAGGAAAACAATAATAAATAAAAAAAAAAAGTCAATTTCATGTTACCTGCCGAAGGACGTGTTGTATTATTTCTGTTGGATCTCCAAGATACTCAGTCTCCTTCCTTGCAAGGATTACAACGGGCTTTGCTTTTGGCCTGGATCACAATAACACCATAATAAAAGGACACAGAGAAACAGTTTTCAGACACATGATGTGTTACCTTTATCCCTGGATTAATCATTTGTAGAGTAGAGATAAAGAATGATCTTGACCTCACCTATTTTTATTTGTATTTAAGGAAGGCTCATCTAGGGGTGAAAAAAAAACCTCTCACACCAATACAGGCAGTAATTAGCAGCTCCTGGATGGGAAATTTAATACCAGCCCCGTCTTCCTGTACTCGGTGTAGAGACCAGAAGGAACTTCTCCTTTAGTGTGACACAGAGATTGTTATCTTTCTTGTCTTCCTCCTCTGTGTGTCTTCCTTCCAAGTAGACGTGGGCAAAACTATGGGCCGGACAAAGCTACAGCTGAACACCAGGCAGAGTGAAATACAGGGAAGCCAATGAAGTGCTGGGGTGGTGCCTTTTGCAGGAATTTCTGTCCCAAAGCAGCTCAGCGGGGATGCTCCATGACTTTAACTTTGTGGCAGCTGGATGCTGCCAGCTGGACTGGGGGTTACCCCAGCACACCCACCACACACCAGTCACTGCCAGGCAGGTGCCCAGTGCCCTTCCCGAAGGCTAAGGCTGTCCTCTGAACGGAGAGGCAAATGTGGGGCCACCACTGGGACAGGCACAGGCAAAAAGGGAACAGGGTAAGGGCAAGACTGGCTCTGCTGTCCCAGACCTGTGCTCTGCACGATACTTTTTTTCTAATACTGTACAGAATTCTAGAATCCCAGCCACTTTTGCGTTAATAGAGCTTGTTATGCCATTTTGACAGATTTCATCTGCCCAGAAAAACATACATCTTAAAACTTCCAGCAACTATTCCAAAGCAACTTCTCTGGTCAGCAAGATTGAAAAAAACTAGCCAAATCAACTAAAAATACCCCCGTCGACCTTTGGATGAAAGGCACCCTCACTAGCCAGCAGGGAATTGGTAACAAATCAATTTGCTCCGTGTTCAGAGGCTGTGCTGTGGAATGGCGGAGGATCCCTTCTACCAAATGGTTAGTGCTTTTCCAGATCCTAAACCATGGAAAACATGTCTATCCTCTACCAGACACATTCAACATAGACTTAAGTGAAGTTTTCTAATACTACTTTAAGATTACATTTTGCCCAAAGCAACATTCCTGGCATGACTGCAGAGGACTTGTCTGCAGATCTCTCCTACTGATCCAGGAGCTGCCCGCATACCGCACAGGCCATGGGGCAAAGCACAGGGCCAGTCAAACACAAGAACACCCCCCCCAAAATTAAAACAATCACTCAGAACTTCCCTGAATGTTTAGAAGCATTTTTGAGCTGCGGCATTATGAAGAGGAACTATATAAAAATGTCCTGAAAACACATGGTGTCACAAAAGCTGACAGATGGATCTCCAGCATCATGGGAAACAGTATATGGCACTGGCTTCCATGCTTAGCACTGGCTGAAAACTGCTGCTTTTGTGAGGAACCTACTGCACTCGCTGCCTGTGACTGTCGGGCTCGCGCAGAATCATCCGTTCTCTCCTCCTCAGCATTCCTGTCTTCCTGTTTTCCCACTTGGGATTCCCATGATCCATAAAGTCATTGAAACATTTCTGTGTGTCTAAAAAAGCTTTCTCAACTGGAAAAAAAAAAAAGAAAAAAAAAAAAGAAAAAAAAAGAGGAGAGAATAGAGAACGTTCTCAGAAAATTCCTTGGGAAGTCAGTCTTGTTTCAATTCCTCCAATCTTCATTTCAATTTGTTCTCATGGGGTCATTAACCCAATAATTTTCTAGCACATGGAGTTTTAGAAAGACTCTAATTAATCAACAAGTGTATTACTCACCTTTCTTCTTTGCATTTTTAGTAGTAAGAAAAAGAACATAAATAAAAAGCAAACCTGACACCCCAGGTGATAGCCCTAGGGCAGCGTTACACCATAACTATTCCTATTGAAGGCACAACTGGCCCTGCTCTATGTTCCCAGACAAACACAACAATGGGCCACCCTTGGTTGGTTTCAAGGAACCAATAAAAGTTGGCACATAGGCTCTGTTGGTGCACCACACACTTTTATCTGGCATATGAATCCTACACTTAGCACAAATGCTGAACAATACTTAATGTTTTTTCAGGAATGCTACTAAGGAGTTTCAATTTCCATCCCCTGAACTTTCAGGAATGAAGAACTGGAAATTGTTCAAAGTCCATGAAATACGATATTCAGCCAAGGAACCGAACCCACCCATGTAACGGGCTTCACTGAGATACCCAGCTCTGTTACAAACAAGCTGATCCTGCGTTCTCTCAATCTGAAGCACAGCCTCTCGGGTGGGCAGCAGCCATTCACGCAGCACCAGCCTTTGCTATACAAAAAATCCCACCTGGGAAAAATCATCCTGGAGATCTGTGAAAAGAAGAAGGGGAAAAAGCAATAGGTTTGAATTCATGCCTTCTTTTACTAGCCTCCAGAGTTACCTATTGAAGGATGAGGGCGAGTTATAGCTTATTCTCATGGAAAAATAGCTAAAACCCCATATTAGTTAGATTCTAGACCAATCTACCAGCACAATGACAAGAACACCTGCAATAAGGAAGCTCCTGTGCTTTAATGTCATGTCTCAGTATTTCAAAACAATTCCCCATTAGACCTTTCTCCTCTGCCAGTAATACATCAACTTACTGATCATAAACACACACATCTAAATTACTTTGAGAACTTATGTTTCTATCACTAACATTTTATGGTTTTATTATGAAAACTGATTAACCACACAGATTCTTATTGCCAATAAAGAAATCAAAAAATCACATACCTGAGCTGATGACACGCAGTTAGGTTCAGAAATGTACTTGCTTTTGTCTGACTCAGCATCCTGAAATCTAACAATAACTTATTTTTAAAAGTACTGCAGAAAGCGGACACAGAATGTTCAGAAAAATCTGGTTATCGATTTAACTGCAGCAGAATACAGTAAGAAACACTAGAAAAGCTTTTTTCCCCCTCCTATATGTAATACTGTTGAAACTACTGGAGGTTTAATTTTCTTTTTTGTCATACGTGCTGTTATTTTCACGCTAAAGGCAAGAATTATTCCAAGAAAAAAGTCTCTCAGGGATGTTTACTACAACTTAACAAAAACACACCCCCAACTGTCAGATGGAAAAAGAGATTCAAGCATCTACAGACTTTGTTTTCTCCAGTTCATACCCAATTCTCACATTCAAGGGTAGAGCTGTGTCGTCTCCACTGCGGCCCATGTCACTGGATCCAGTCACTCAGAACAAGCCAGGGAGTTTGGGCCCACAACCCAAGGGGAATTGACCAAATACAAGTTCACAAGGAGTTTTTACAGCACCCAACACCAGAATGGACACTTAATAGTAACAGAAGACATCGAAACAATGCCCATTTCTAAGCCAAGTCTCTGAGAGAGACACAGGCTGCTGAACACCCCACCGCCCTGCCCTCAGGGGGCTTGGGCCTTGCCTCATCCTGAGGAAGAGGGTGGCTCTCCAGCAGCCCTCACACCCTGCGGCGTTTCTTCACGGTATTTATTAAGAAAGCCCAAGGCAAGAAGAATAAGAAGACTCTGACGTCCCCAAATCCGAAACTCTTATTTTAAACCTACGAGTTTAAGGATGCAAAGGGAGGCCCTGGAGGGAGGTGGGAACAGGGCTAAAGACAGGGTGCTTGGTGCAGGAAGGAGCGGGCCCTATGCGCCTCGGCCCCTCGCCTCAGCCGGGCCCCCTCACCGCGGGGCGCCACACGAGAAGCCCCCGCGAAGCCCCGCACCAGGGAAGAGGCCGATCTCCCCCGGCAGCTCCTCCCCTGAGGGGCGAACCCGCCGCCGCCCGCCCTCCATCCCTCCTCACTCTCTCCCCGGGGGCGGCCGGCGGCGGGGGCGCCCCCTGCAGGCGAGGCTCCCCGGGAAGGCGGCCCCAGCGGGGAGCCTGGCCCCCGCCCCGCTGCAGCAACCCCAGCTCTTCGGCAGCCGCCGCCCCACAGCCCCGCCGGCTCCGTAACGCCCGGAAACGGCAGCACCGACGCGGGGCTGGGGCTTCTCCCCGCGCAGACATGAGCGGCTTCGGGGCAGCAGCGGAGCCGGCGGGCTGGCAGCTGAGCGGCGGTAAGGGTCTTGGAAGGGGTGGGGAGGCAGGGACCGAGCGGGGCGGGAGCGCCCACCGGAGCGCCCGCGGCTCCGGCAGGTGGTGAGGGGAGAGAGGGGGGGAGAGACGGGAGGAGAGAGGGAGGGACGGGAGCGGTGGTGCCCCGCGCCTCGCCTCCCTCAGCGCTGCGGGGTCCCGCGGTGGAGGGGGGAAGGGGGCGGCCGGGTGCCATGTTGTGCCCCGGGCCGCTCGCCCGCTCCTCAGCCCCCGTGCTTCCTCCCTCTCGCAGAGGTCTTCCTCCCCGAGGAGACGCGCGGCGCCGCACCTGTGGGTTTCCTGCAGCAGCTGCCCAGCTACCAGTCGGCGCTGAGGCGCCGCGCCACCGCCGGCGGGGGCACCCAGGAGCGGCGGGCGGCCCCCCAGGGCTCCGCGGGGCTCCGCGCTGCCGCGGGCCTCGGGCCGGAGGAGGAGGACGACCAGGCGGCTGCTCCCACCGCCAGAGAGTGCCCCTTGACCATGGCGGAGAAGAGGAGATTGAGGTTAGTCTTTACACTTCTTTTTTTTTCCCCTTTTTTTAATTTAAAAAAATAAAAACTTTACCTTTTCCTAAGCACAGAATGGGGTTCGCAGGTTTCGCCCTGTGGCATGTGGTTTTGACAAGAAGTTGCCCAGGAAGTCACGCCAAAGCGTGCCAGGCTCCCTCAGGCTCCCTGTGGCACCTCCCGCTACAGGAGCGGGGCTGGGGTGGCGTGAGGGGGTAGTTGACGGGGGGAGGAATAGGTTGAACTGGAAGAAATTAGTCAAAACTGGGAATTACCTGTACCAGCCAAGTGGGTTTCTCACTGCCTCAGGGTTTTGTGCTTTTAAGGATCACTGTGGGTTTTATTCTGCTCTGCTGGAGCTGATGTTCGTGAGGCTTCTCAGCAGTTCTTCCAAAATGCATTGCCTTCTCTTTGATGTGGCTCAATAGGTGGAAACAAGCTTTACACGACCATTTCGTCTATTTTTTTTTTTTCCATATCCCTTTTTAAGTTGCTCTTTGCCACAAGCAGCTCCTGCCCTTCTGGTGGTAAGAGAGCATTGGCAAAGAGTGTGCTTTGTCCTGCCTGTGTTTCTCTGCTTGTTGTCTCATGTCTTACTGCTAGGCTGAGAACTCCTTTGAGGAGAGAGGATGCAGGATCTGTTTTGCCGTTGTCAGGGAACAGCTGCACCTTTAAATCAGTTTTTAGTTGTGAATATGCAATGGGAAAGAGGTGAAAGTACAGTTGGTGCCTGGTGCTCCACAGAGAACAAGAGTAACTTGCAAGAGCAGTGGGAAGCGGGTTACAGCCTGACCCTGGAGTTAAGTTTAACCCTACAGCCTGTACACAAGGAAGAGCAGAAGATCTAGGTTGTGATAAGGTATAGTGCTTAATACATTGAATTTGTATTTGAAGTTGGGTATTTAAAGCACAGTTCTTCAAAAAAAGGGAACTGCCGTCCTGTGGCCTTGGTGTGTGTTAGGAAAGGAGCTGAGATGTCCCAAGCTTGTTTACCTGTTTTAGCACTGAGAGATTCTGGTGGGGCTTCTTGGCCCTTCTGCAGACCAGGATTCTGTGCCTATTGTGCAGCAGCTGCCAACACAAAATGCTTCATAGAAACGTCCTGAAAGCTGAACACTCAACTTGTGTAACACAGATGAATATGCAGCCCACGCCTCTATTTAAAATGCAGACCAAACACAGGCCAGATAGTTCTCCAAAGTGTTTGTTTAAAACACTACATGCTGCAGCCTGTAGTTTTCACAAAATAAAATCTTTGGAGAGTAGTTGTATTTGCACTTAAAGATGACATCATCTGCTGCCCATTTGATTGTTGGATATAGGGTTTAATTTGGGTTTCTGCCAAAATGCTAATTGTACTTTCAGCTGAGAAGGATATGGAAACTTGGTCAATGTACAGCAGACATGGCAGTGGCAAGGCGTGGCAGTGAATCACACACTTAAGTAGGGTTATGTACAAAGTCTTTTAAAATTTAAACCTTTGTCTTCAGCATGGTGTCCTCATGGATACTTAATGCTGCCCTTCTTCAGTGGCATCAGAGACTGCAACAGCATTTGCTGCATACAAGTCAACCTTTCAAGCTATGTGTCGGGGAAGTTCTGTCCATTTTTAAGGTTCCTTAAAAGAAAAAACAAAATACAAACTCTGAGCCACTCAGAACTCTCCTTGATGTTGTTGCTGACCATGCAGCAATTTCTAAAATGCAACTGTGTGCATATAGTATGGAAATCTGTAAGTGAGAAGTGATTAGAAATTATAGACACTTTATGGCAAGTCCTCAGGTTTGGTTTGCAGCTTATTATTAGTAGAGTATACCCCCACACTCACATTCATTGAATTGGCACTGTCCAGCAATTTTTTTAAAATGCTAGAAAATTTAATTAAAAATGAATAATAAAGTTTGTTTTCTATTATGTACTGGAATGTGATATAGAAGTTAAAATTATAAAATACAAATTAAATGTTGTAGCCTCTTTGTAGCTCTCTATTTTTTCCTTTGTTTTTTTCCCCAACATACTTTGACATTTCATTCTGATTTTGAGATCTGTGAATTTTCTACAAAAATAGAATAACTTTATATCTTGAACAGCTGCATGTAGAACATTAGAAGAGCCAAGCTAAATATTTCAGAGAAATTTTTTGAGAGCCTCTTGGTGAAGGTGTCATTCTGGTCAGATGTTTTGAGGAAAGAACCTTATCTTCCTTTGCCAGCCATTTGTAAATATGAAACCATTAATGGCAACTTCCCTGAGATCCCACTGGGGAAGTTCAGCTACATATTTTTTATCTGTTGTGCTATTGTCAGTTGGTGCTTTTCCCCTCCCACCCCCGGCAAGAGAGGCAAGTGGTTTCTGTGAGAGTACTTGCTATATTTGAATTAACTTGATGTCACAGTTAACATGAGGACCAGATGGGGATGGCCAGTGTGCGTTACTCCAGCTTTTAGCACCATGCTGTCCCTGTGAAGGCTGCAAGCTGGCTTCGTTGTGCTAGGCCCTGTTTCCTGTAGTGAAAAATTATTTCTTGTGCTCAGTAACTGTATTTCTTGATTCTTAGGGTCAATCAGCAGGCTGATGTAAAACATTTATCTGGAGGGAAACAGTGGAGAAGAACTAGCAGTAAATCATTGAAAAAAGTCCTCAGTGAAGTCAAGGAGTTCTCATCTTACCTGACGCTTTGGCGACATGATATTCACAGCATAGAAGGTATTTACTGTCTTATGTAAATTTCTCCTCTTTCAAATTGCTTCTCTTATTGGTAGTTTTGCATGTGTGAGCTTAATTTCAGATATAACTGTATGTGTGTAGAGAAGTTACCTGCTCCCTTTATTATAGGTGATGTAAAATTTCTGATGATCTACAATGAAATATATTGGAGAAAATGATTAAAAAGTCACATTTCAATTTCAGTAATATTGCTAAAAGCCTGTAATACTTAACATTAGCTTTAGTAATGTTTCTTCAGTTAACTCAATGTAACTAAAATTATAATCTGCTCATTCTGTATTTTCAGTGATTTTTATTGTCTTAATTATTGGCATGTGTTTCTTTTATTTCCAGGGAAATTTGGTACAGGCATCCAGTCCTACTTCTCCTTCCTGCGTTTTCTGGTTCTGCTCAATTTTATAATTTTTATCCTGATGTTCAGTTTTGTTACCCTTCCCAGCATCATTGCTAAGTATGGAATGTTCAACAGTAGCTTTGCTAAAATTCCTCCAAAGAACATAGGTAAACATCTTCTCTATGTACTGATGTTGTTTGTGAGATTCCCTCTTTCCATCAACTTTGCCTCTACCTCCCAAGAAAAAGAAATGCTTTTTTTATAAGAACTTGCCATGTTCTTATAAACTTAATCTTGCAGTTTAATGGGCATTACCATTTCAGTGACTTTTCCTGCTTTTTTTTTTTTTTGACAGAGTCGCACTGCACAGTTTATGAACCTAGTGGTACTAAGGGACTGACTTACTTCTATAATTACCTTAAAGATTTGCTCAGTGGCACTGTAAGTAATTAGATTTTTTTTTTTTAAATTAAGTTTCTGTGGCTTGCATGTAGAACGTGAAAACATTGGAGAATGAGGCTTTGATAGTTTTGAAAAGTGATAAGGCATACGCATCACTGGAGTAAAATTAGTGCTTATCCTTTAACTGTGAGAAGGGGAGTTTTGAAGCTGACTTTTACTAAGCATCCACACAGCCTGGTTGGCCACGTGCTGCGGCCTGTGCCTCTCCTCCTCCCCAGCTGATAAACATTACGTATTCTGGAGCACACAGCCTATTGTGCTCTCTGTGTAGGCTCTCAGTGTCCTTGTCATAGGCTCACTGATTGGAGAGGGGAGGGATTTTAAGCATGTAGTGTCTGCATAACAGTTTAGTAGAGGCAGTGGCAGTATTTAAAAGCTCTACACTGTTGCAGCTTGCTGGGGCCCCCAGTAGTAATTTTAAATTTACAAAATGATTGTTTAATGCCAGGTTGGATTTAACTTGGCAGTTGCTTCTACTGTTACAAGTTCTATTTAAACTTCGTGTTTTCACAGGGGTTCCTTGAAGTGACAAGTTTGTTTTATGGCTACTACACAATAGATGCTGCATGGATCAGTATCATGAGATACAACTTGCCACTAGCATATCTGCTGGCTACGTTTGCCTACCTTGCATTAAGTCTCATCTGGATAATATCAAGGTAAAGATGATGTTATAGTTTATTTACTGGTACCTATTGCACAGTTTACATTGCATTCTTGCTTGTAGGAAACATGCTGTATTCTAGAACTGGTTTATGTGGAAACAGAAAATCTTCTGCTTGAGGATGCAGTGCCATAGTAGCCTTTCTCTGTGTTTGGGAAACTGGGCCAGCAAAATAAATAAAAATAAATAAATTTGAAGTACTAGTTTTTCATATGTATGCATACATGTAAATAAAAGACCCTCAACTATACAGCAGTTGTTGCTGGAGAATTTTATTTTGGGGGTTGTTTTTAGGGGGGGGGTTGGTGTCTGTTTTGCCCTCTCCTGAGACAGCTCTTTGAAGTGTCAGAGAAGCAGCAGGTGAGGTGAGGAGGTTGTGGCTGTGGCTAAGGGCAGAGGGAAGTAACCTGTATGTGTCACAGCTTCAGCTGACTCTGCTGCAGAGCCTCACGCTGAAAGCTTTCTGAGGACTTGCTAGTATATGTAGCTGTTTGCTCACGGGTGGGCATCATTTAGTCTTTGATGAGTCAGGTTGCTAGAGGTGTGTTTTCTATGGATAAAATGTGTCTTTTCATGAATGAAGTATAGTTGCATTTTTCTCTAGGTCTCTGGAAGGATTTAAGCGGAACTTGGTGCATGCTGAAGATCAATTTCAGAGTTACTGTAACAAAGTCTTTGCAGGCTGGGACTTCTGCATTACAGATCCAAATGCAGCTCGGCTAAAACATCGCAGTTTGCAATATGAGCTCCAAGTGAGTAACTTTCATTTTTATATGGTTACAGTTTCATATAGCTTAGGCGGCTGAAAAGGAGAGGTGTATAATTCTGCAGACAAGGGAATACAGATAAGGATTGAAATAGTTTATATTGGGGGCAGGGCAACCCACATCCTCTTGCACGCTTTCTAGGTAGCTAGAATTGTGGTGAGAAGGATCAGCGCTGAGGCTGACGGCCCTTCCCCCATCCACTGGGGACTAAAGCCAGCCTCTTTGCTGCTTGTCTTATCTGCTTCTTCCTCAGACTCCAGTCCTGCTTCCTGTGTTAGTTTCTCCATAATCCAACAGGAAAAGCTATCCTAGCTGTGGGCAAAACCTTTGTACTGTTGGGAATTAGTTTGAGTGTACTGTGTTTTAAGTCTCTGGTGTGGTAGGCAGTAGTGTGGGGAGAAATAAAATTCAGATGGTACTCTTTGTACAAGTTGAGAGCATTGTTGAAGTAAGAAGATACTGGAAGTTTTCACTAGGTGTCTTTGATGCACATGCACATTAGCTGATGCAGCTAGTAGATTTCCCAAATCATAAAACTCTCTGAAAAGAGAGCCTGAAAGGCTTTTCTGGTGAAATCAGTACCTTCTTTTTGCTCTCTGTATCCTGGAAGCAGAGATTTGTGTAGTGGAACAATTACCTTTGAAAAGATACTTCCATTTCAAACCACAGAGCAGTAATTACAGATTTCTGTAAATCACAGTGAGTTGCTTTCTGCTCTAGTAAAGTTCACAGTCATCTTTTTTCATCACATAACCAGAGCCTCCTTCACTTACCACGCTTTTGTCTCTGGAGCTCACACCGTAGAATAACCTGCCCCTTAATATTATGTTTCATGGAAATAAGTCCTTGAAAAATACCTGGGTAATCCATGGGTTTGTCCGGGTTAAATTGCCTTCATAAGCAATACTGTATTTTCACATCAGCTAAGGTGAAATATAAAGTTTATGTGACAAGCTGCTCAAGATAGCACTTCTTTCTGTGCCATCCCCCAATTTTCCTTTGTAAAGAGTGGGAGGAGGAAGTTCAAGCCATAGTGGTGGGGCTGGTTACTTACCTGCAGAAGTAACGAGATGCATGGGCAGATTTACCTACTTCAGAGTTTAGTACCAAGCTATCTGAGATCAGTCTCTCACGACAAACAGACAAGTTGTCTTTCCGTCCTCAAGGAGATTTGTTACTGATATATTAGAGATAAGAGGATTACGAGACACTTGTCTTTGGCTACAGGGCCCTCAACCTGAGGAGACTGAGCACATGGGCTTCCACTCTTGCACGGACCTGTTTGGGTCAATGAAAAGGTACTCTCAGTCCAGTGTGCTTGTGACCCTCCTAGAACAGGCTATAGATTTACATATCCCAGAGGTATAAGACATGCTGTAAAATGTCATTCGCTGCACCAGAAAGCTACATTTTTTTTGTTGTTGTTGTTTGTAGACAGACTTGGAGGAAGAAAGACTGAAGCGAAAAATAGCTGAGAGGACAACGAAAGAAAAGCTACGCATCTACTCTCTGAGAATATTTATAAATGTAATTGTCCTTGCAGTTCTATTAGGATGTTTTTACTCTATTTATAGAGCAACTGTCTTCTCTCAAGAAAACTCCAATGTAAGTATCAGACATGACATTAGGAGAGATTCAGTCGGGGCTGGTGATTACAGCAAGAGGAACTATTGTGAAAGAGTCAAGTATCTTAATATAGCACCTTTCATGCATTCTGAAAACGCTTTGTACAAACTTAGAATTCTTTCAGTAGGAGAGAGTGAGAAAGATCGAGAACCATGTGCAAAAAACCTCCCAGTAATGTCTCCCTGTGGTACAGAGGCTCCAGTGTCATCTGCCTTGGAGCTAATACAGCTGACAGGAAAAGCAGCCCTCGCTTGCCTTCCCAAGTAACTGTTCTCACCTCGCTGGCATCTGCTGGTGCAAGTGCTGGTGTGTCTGGGCAGTGAACTGGCTCAGGGAACTGATCTGGTTAAAACAAACTTCGTGATCAGTTTCTTCGTTTGTTTTGCTGCTCAACAGCAAAAATGAGCAGCAGGGGAAGGGGAGAGTAAAGATTATGATCTGTATTGTGAGTTACAGCGGTGTGGGGAAACAGGAAGGCTTTGAACACAGAGCGCTTCGCAGAAGAAAAGGTTCTTGCATCAGCAGTGCAAAGAATCAGGTTGGGTGGGGTTGTTCATCCCTGGCAGGACAAGCGGATGGAAGAGCAGTTCAGAAGCAGAACAACCAGAGCAGACGACACTTTCAGCAGTTTCGCAACCGTAACTGACTTGTCTGTAGGACCCCAGGGTTGAGTTGGCCTGATAAGAATGGGGACCCCACTTTTTCTCTCCCCTCTGTTCACCGGTGATGTGATGAGCTCTGGCTGTGTAGGGGGAAAGTTGTGCTTGCGGTGGACCTAACTCTTAACTTCTATAAACTGCCAGAATTGCAGAGAGAGAAGCAGGAAACAAGAGCTAAAGAAGTGTTTGTGTCAGAGGTCTTGAGAGCAGAGAAAGAGGATAGCACAACACCGAATGACTTGAAAAACAGCTTCACTTGTTGTTGGTGTTATGTATAAGGGTTGATGTCTTGACCTTGCCTAAACAAGTAGGTAGAGGAGCTTCTTAAGATGGTAGGAAAGTCAGGGGAGCTCCTTGGCACCAGTGAAAATAACTTGAAAACTGTTTGCGCTTCAGCATAGGCGTGAAGCTGGTTGCCTTAGTGCTGGGTTAGACAACGTAGTCAGTCATAAATCTTGGTGAGATGAGTTTCTTCAAACAGAAGCTTTTGGGAAGGACTAAAATGCTAATATGTGAAGGTGAGTGGAACTGCTGGTGAGGGGAGCAGGAGAAAGCAAGAATGCGTGGTAGCAAACTGCAGAGATAAAAAGCAGTGGTCAGGCTTGTGGTTCCAAATGTAAGTGGAGTAAAAGGTGGTACCCATGTCCTGGACAAGAGTGGCTGGTGGATAACTGGAGAAATCACAATGTCAGGAAGCTGTGTTTCTCTAACTACTCTCTTTCTCTCATGTCTTCTTTTGCAGGGTGTCAGCAACATGAACTTCCTTGTTAATCTCTTAGTGCAGTATTTGCCTTCCATAGTGATCACAACAGCCAACATGCTTGCTCCTCTGATCTTCTCATTTCTGATCAGATATGAAGATTATTCACCAGCCTTTGAAATCAGGATGATATTGCTGAGGTAAAGATATTTTTATTTTGGCTTTGGATGTTTCAACATCTTGTTCTTGGTAGGTTAGAAGTATTGTAAGCATTCAAATATGAAGCAGCAGAGAGATCGGACTGTACACTGGAGGGCCTGGGCGCTGCAAGCCAAGCAGGCATTGTTTGACTTATGTTTAGTTAGAAGCTAATTTTAAATCTGGAAACAATCTCCTGTTTTGCTGACAGTAGAGTGCCATCGTTTCAGTGTCCAAGTTTCTCTCTCAGTCCCATTTAGCTGTGTGATCTGGACATCTTCAACAACCTGAATAAATAGTCAGTAGAGAAGTTGTGGCTGCAGAACTATGCATTCACACTGCTTTGCATGCAGCAGTTCCTCGAATGAGCAAATGTGTGTGCATGGCAGTGACTGAAGCAAGGCTTTGATCAAGGCAGCAATTAAAAGTTTTAGGATAAAAGGTATGTCAGTGTGAAAGCCTGAAGAACTAGCATTTGGCAGCTTAAGGCAGTAAGATCCGGGTTGAAGCATCTGAACCCTGTCAAGCCCTGTGCTTTGTATTTCCGATTTGGCTAAATGTCTCTGAAGGCCTGAAGCCACGTGGGAGGGAAATGCTGCACACAGAGTTGTCACCTGAGCTCTCAAAATATACTTGAGAGAATTGCAGCCCATTGCGGGGTGAAGATCCAGAGCTGAAATGACTGCAAAAAGAAGCAGGGCACTGTAGCCCAAAGCAGGGAAGGTGAAAAGCAATCCAACTTACTACTAAGAAAATAAATGTGTTTATTATCTAGCTGGTCTTTCCATTAAACCTCTGTACAACCCTTTTGTGTTTTGAACCTTCCTTGGACTCCTGTGCGAGTTGAGCCAGGTGTTAGAGTGGCACTTTTTTTGGCAGGTTTGAAATTAGATTTTGCCTTTCTTCCAGGTGTGTCTTTGTGCGCTTGGCCAGTATCGGTGTTCTCTTGTTCTCGCTGTGGAGTCAGATCTCCTCCTGTGACACTGACAAGTGTAAGGCCTGTGGATACAATTACGAACTCTATCCTGTAAGCAGATTTATCTTGGTCTTTAATAATCTCAATTTAAGAATAGAGATTCATTTTGCATGGGACTTGCATGTCTAGAAGTATTCAGAATCAGACCTGGGGTTGCTGTTCATGTTATACCTGGTGCTGGTTCTTACTTCTCAGTGCAAACCAGTACAGCTCTTTTGTTTTATCTAAACTAGCATAGACTTTCTGACTACCATGGGGATTGTTTGAGGTAACTCTGTTTTGGAGACAATTGTGTTACTGCCTATTGCTCCAAAAAGACAAATGGTCTTTCCTTGGAAAAAAAAATTAAAACAAAACCCCCAACAATACAAACAGCTTGGCATGGAAGCTCTAAAACAAATATTGTAGAAATGAGAATTAATAAAATTTGGACTTTGTTTTTTGCTTGTTATTTAGACTCCTAATTTTGGTTTTCCTGGCTTGTTTTATAGTGCTGGGAATCTCAAGTTGGGCAAGAAATGTATAAGCTGATGATATTTGATTTTATTGTAATTCTTGCTGTGACCCTGTTTGTGGACTTTCCTAGAAAGTAAGTGTATCTGCCTTTTGAGCATACTTTTGCAAATGACATGTGAAACACACTTTCTTTTTTCCATTACTAATTCCCCATATTTCTAATCAGATTACCAGTTTAAAAATAAAACATAAACGCATTTCTGGTGTCTTGTGCACCTGTTTCCTATTCAGATGGCTGCACAGTTTTTGATACTTGAGCCTTTTTTCTTCAGACATTTTTCTGTTACTTTGTCTAATGCTTAAATGCTAAATGTCTGTGTGTTCCAAATGATTCAGCTAAGCTCTATAGCTTCGATTTAGAACTAATGATATTCTTTGGTTTTAGGTTATTAGTTACTCATTGTTCTTGCAAGCTACTTCAGTGGTTTGGATTGAAGGAATTTCAAATTTCTGACAATGTCCTGGAAATGATTTATGGGCAGACTATCTGCTGGATTGGAACCTTCTTTTCACCACTCCTCCCTGCAATAGCAACTGTAAAATACTTCATCATCTTTTACATTAAAAAGGTAATGAAGGTGTGTGGTAAACAAACAAAACTGAGCAAATCTCTGGTTTTTGTAATGTACGTATGCAGTTGATTTAAAACAAAAAAAAACCCTAAAAACATCCAAGGATGCGGTGGACTGGAAATGAGGTAATGGTGTTTTGTGTTTGGTTTTTTTTGTTCTGTAGGGTTTTTTTGCTTTTAAAAGAAGGCAGAATTTTGCTTAGAAATCAAGCAAACCAACATTTTATTAACTACATCTTCAATTACTTGTCTGGGGTTTTTTAATACATTTTTTTTCCTGTAATAAAGCTATTTTATAACACTTTTCTGCAATAATCTCTTTACTAGCAACATAGCTTAGAACTTGGACAAAATTTTGCCAAGCTGCTAAAAATTTGGAAGCAAAATGGAAAATCCAAGCTGGATTGGGTTTTTAAGATGTGATTTCTGCACATCAGAAGCTCTGCTCTATCAAATTCTTACTGATATTTTAGCTCCTGGAAGAGGGGATGTACCCAGTGAAGATGTGGCAGAGCAAAGCTAAAGGCTGCGCCATGGATCATGCATCAAATGACTGCACCAATTGAGTCTGTGCAAGTGTGTGAGGCCCTCTGGATTGAATTCTTACTTAGAACAGGAGATGTTGACTTATACTTGAATGTAAAGTGTCTTGTCTTAGGCCTTTTCAGTCCATGTACGTCAAAGGAAGGATGGCTATGTGGTAGCATATTTGAGGATAGAAAATTCAGTTGGTGGGGAATGTATACTTGGACGTATGTATATAGATGTGCTGCTTACAGTCTTGCTCACTTTCCATCTTCAGGTCAGTTTGATACACACACAAAAACCTGCAGCTCGGCCTTTCAGAGCATCAAGTTCCAATTTTTTCTTCTTGTTGGTGCTGTTGATTGGGCTCGTTTTGGCTCTTATTCCTTTGGGAGTCAGCATAGCATAGTAAGTGACAATTTAACTTCTGTGAAGTTGACGTGTTCTAAGGTTGTCAGGTCCCTGAAAACAGACACAACTTTGGAATGATATATTGGAATAAAATATATAGCATATAATAAATCATAATTTAGTTCATATAAACAAAAATTACAGTTTTAAAGACAAAGGACACTTTTACCGCATTGGCAAAATGTGCTGGGCTTGTGTTGGATTGTTTTATCTTTACGTTTTGGTGTAGCATCTCCTTTCTGTTCTGCTTCTTTGACAGTATCCCCTCCTCCAAGGCATGCGGGCCATTCAGGAATTTTAACACTTCATGGGCAGTTGTTCCACATACTGTACTGGAGTTTCCAAAACCTTTGCAGCAGGTGCTTTACGGCATAGCATCAGAAGCCTTTGCAGTGCCTTTTTTTATGATCATTTGGTGAGTACTGTGGAGGGAGACCTGATTCAGTCATGCAGCTGCATAGTTCATTTCCTTCTTTACTGAACTGATACCAAACAACTGTTAGACCAGATTTTCCATTTGCAGTCAAAGGCATAAAAGCCTGTGAGAACAGAATCCTCAGCTCTCATGTCTTTGCCCATGTGTTGATGCTCATTAGGTTTATTCCATTTCCTCTTGCATGTCCCATGTCCCACACTTTCTCAAAAGTGTTAGCTGTCAATCATTCTGCACATCAGTGTTGCAAGTCCTGTGGTTGCAAATCCTATGCACAAACCTTGGTTTAAAAAAAGCCCAAACAACCCAACAACAAACAAAACCCCCAAAACAGTCATTCTGTAAGATAAAGTTCAGTATAGAATCATAGAGTTCTTAAAGTTGGAGGTCACATGTGGAGATGATGTAACACAACCCTTTTACTCAAAATAGGGTCAAGTAGAGCAGATGCTCAGGGACCACGTCCAGCCAGGTTTTGAATATCTCCAAAGATGGAGACCCCACAACCTCTCTGGGCAACTTTCTACAACTTCTACACTTGAGAAACCATGCATTTTATTTCCAACTCTCCCCAGCCCTTTCTTCCATAACACATGTTTATGCGTTCTCCTGAACTGAACCCGTTATTGTGTACACAGGAAATATCAAGTCCTCTTTTTTTGGTTTGGGTTTGGTTTTTTTGGGGTTATTTTGTTCGGTTTTTTTTAAGTTTATAATAAAGCCTGTGTAAGAGGTGGAGGATGACTTGCACTGCTGCCCTACTGCTTATTATTTGGAAAAAAAATACATTATTTATATAGGCATTTGTGCTATTCTAGTTCTTGCTACTGCTCTTTATCCTGTAATGCACTGTGGATAATGTGGGTCACAGGAAAGGCTGCAATACCGATCCGTGGCTGCTTATCATAGTTACAAACCCCAATGGGAGCAAAGAGTTACTCCAGTGAAACCTCATTAAACTTAATTTCTGAGAAGCAGAGCCCCCATACATACACTTAGAGCAGGGCAGGAACTGACAGTCTAGAGAGAGCTTTCGGAGCACAACCTGTAACATCTGGAAGTGGCCGTGCCTCTACGTCCCCTCGCACTCTGTCCCTGCCTGATGGCAGCATAAGTACATCAGCAGATGCTTTTTTGCAGAGCTATACATTGATATATTTTTTTTTTATTAAATCTTTCTCTTCGCCAGCAGCTTCGCATCTGAAGCAAATGCACAAACTGATAATTTCTCTAGCCCTTTTTTTAATTCTGTTTTGCATGATGCTAACACATGATGTTGGTTTGTTGTTTGCAGCCTCGTTATGTTCTATTTTATTGCCTTGGCCAGAGCACACCAACGAGTGGCTGAGCAGCTGAAGGAGCAACTAGCTATGGTAAGATTCGACCCACTTTTCTGTACCCCTAAAGTTTTCTTTGTGTCAGTAATCAGGCATGCAGGGAAACAACAGTTTTCATAGTCTTCTGGACACTTGGTGTTTGCACAGGCAGTGAAGAATGTTTTACAAATTACACAGGAAAAATAACCAAAGTGCTGTAGTGTTTCTCAGTCTAGTTGGTTTTCTTGGGCATCACCTGCAACTGCAGGAAGGTCTGGTTGTATCAGAGAAGCAGTGTCCCTGTTCTTCATCTCTTGTCTTGCTGAAATCCACCCATCGGCATATTGTTTTTTCTACCAAACAGGAACCTGAACTTGTGCTTGCTGTCCCCTCCACTGTCTTACACAACCCCCGCCTCTGTTTTCTTCTCTGCTCTCACAAACAGGCACCCAAGGCCCTGCCCTTCCCTCTGGGCCTGTGTTTCTACTGTGTCATGTCTGGGCTTATTCCTGAGTGTGAGTCCCAGCACCGCACGAGGTGGAGCAGGTCACTAGTCCTCTGGAGAGCGGTGCCAGTGCAGACAGGCTTCTTTGTGGCCATCAAAAGCTGCTGCTGTATATTGACCACAACGTTCATGTACTGTGGTCTGACAAACTCTGCCCTAGTCACAACCTGGCCTTGCTAATAAGGCTTCTCACTTTCTTAGGAAATAGCCCGTTTCTGGGTACGTGCTGCTTTTAGATACGGCAATAACAACCTGTCCGTGGAAAAACACTGTGCTGGGGAGGGATTTTTGAAGAGTAAGGAATTTAGAAGCACAAGCCTTCCTGCTTTCTCAGGGGTTCCCAAATCAGTTAGGAATTCTGAAAATCCTCACCTGCTTTTTATTTTTGTTCACTGTTGTCAGACTTCTTGGAAGTGTGGTTTAAAGGTACTGGGTGTGAGAGGTGTTTATACTAGGCTCAATGCAGAACTGTTAATATGTGACCTGATACTAAGTAATTGAAGTAAAACTTGTATGCTTAAAATTGTTCAGGCAGTTGAGAGTGTACTGGGGGCCACTAATTAGAGTGCAATGCAGTGAGTGCACCTGTTTATTCCTAATAAATAAATGAGCTCTTCATAGGTAACTTGTACTACTTCTGTTCACCAAGAGTGTACTTTTTGTTGTCTTTCCAGGAGGGTCGTGACAAGCAGTTCCTCATCAGAAAGATAACAGAAGCTCAGAGGCATCCTTGAAAACCACAAAAAGCCAGAAGAACTTGACTTCCTGAAACTCCTAAAACCACTAGATAAGAGTAGAAGCATCTGCAGCACCTAAAACCTGGGCAGCTGACTGGCACCCTGGCTGGCACTGCTGTCTCTGTAATGGACGCTTTTGGTGTTGGTTTTGATTATGCTGGTGAGCCTTAACAATTTCCAAGACTGGAAATTTAGTAATTTACAGTGTTAGACCTGCCCCAAAAATGGTGTGGTAGGACACTTTATTGCTGCTACAATTTCAGGGTTGTTGGAGTTTAAGTCCATATTTTTTCAGGGGTTTTGGGTAGAATGTGATCAGAACTGAAACTGTGTTTAGGAGCTTTATACTGTTTTTACAAATTATGCTTTAAGAATCGGGAGGGAGGAGAAAGGTGTGGTTTCACAGGTTTCCAAAACATTTTTCTCTTTTAAAACCAAAGCAAGAGGGAGGTGCACGTCAGTATTGTGAGGTAGTGCACAGGAGAAGAAAATGTAGCATGGGTTTGAAATCAGTTTGCTAAATATTGTTGGAGTAGAGACTTTGGCATTTATTTTGCCCAGAAATAGCAGGTACAGTGGGTGGCTCCACAGAGAGGTGCAGAGGGAGCGAGGTGACAGAGGAGCTCCGGGGGGGGAGGACAACACCCCGGGCACAGCCTCGCTGCTCCGGAGGGGCAGCGGTTCCATTTTAAATTTATTAAAGCATTATCACTTGTATTTTATTCTTGAACGAACAGCTTTGTTTGTACTGCTGTTCTCCTTGTTTTAAAATGTGAGTATTTGGAAATAAGGCATTCTATTAAGAGAAACTTAACTATCCCTGCTCTTTAATGTTTCTTCTCGCTGGACTGAGCTGCCGGAGCTGCGGGACCGGGGGGGAGCGGTGTTCCCGCCGGGGGCAGCGGTGTTCCTGCGGGGCAGGGGCCGTGCCCCGCGGTGAAGGCCTCGCCGCCGGGTTCGCTGTGCAGAACGGGGCGTGTTACTTGAAATCCGCCAGTGGCGCACCGTTAGTTAGTATGGGAGGGGCTGTCCTTTGCGTATGATGTTTTGGAATGCCTCCTGTCTTCATTTTAAAGAAATTCGTGTTCAATAAATGATTATTTTTTAAATACAAAGGCAGAGGTTGGTTTCAGCGTTCCTTTGTCCTGACTCGGAACGGGCAGACGTTCAGCACCGCTCGGCTCGCTCCGCCCTCGTTCCCATGGCAACCAGGGGACGCGCCGGCCCTGACTGACAGCTCCGCTCTCCAATCCCTTCCGACTGGGGAGCCAATGGGAACCGTGATAGGGCGGGACTGTGGCGGGGTTGCAGCCGGCGCGGAGGCGGCCCCCGCTGATGACGTTGCTGTGGCGCGACGCGGCGGAGGAGGCGTCGGGGTCAGCGGGATGGAGGTGGCCGCCGCGGCCGTGCGGCGCTCGGTGGGGCAGGGCCGGCCCCTCCGCTGCGGGCTGGGTAGGGGCTGGGGCCGGCTTCCGCGCCTGCCCACCCCTCACCTGTTGGGGCGCCTCCCGGAACGACGGCGGCGTCGGCGTCGGGCCTCGCACCGCCCGGCGCCGCCTCACAGCGCCCGGGGCCGCCTCAGGCCTCACGGCGGCTGGGCGGCGGCGGAGCTCGCGTCACCTTTGTCTCTCCGGCAGGTCTCCGGGAAAGGTGGCCTGTCCCCGCCGGAGGGGTGTCCCTCAGGTGCTGCAGCACGCGGGTGAGCCTGGAGGGCGTCAACAGGCCCGTCATAGACCGCATCATCCGGGTGGACCACGCCGGGGAGTACGGGGCCAACCGCATCTATGCGGGGCAGATGGCCGTCCTGGGGAGATCGAGCGTGGGACCCATTATCCAGGTCAGCGGACCTGAAAGTGATCGCCCTGTTTCTGGTTAATTTGCATCTGATTAACAGTGGTCGAATGAAGTTGGTAGCTGTGCTTCTCAACGCCTTTAAACGGGTGGGTTTATAAAGAGTGGTGGGATGAGGTGGTGAGGCAGTCGGCAGCACTGCCACTGCTGCAGCGTTGTCACAAAGACTTCTCTTTTGCGAGTGGTTGTTATGTTGCCCGTTTATAACTATCCTCACCTGCCCTTCTTTAACGTTACCTCTGTGTGGTGGGAGTAGTGGTACCTCTGCAGTCAAAGTGTGAGTGGCCTGAGCTGGTTTGGTTTTCTTTGTGTTTGTTAGTTTTATTGAAAGTGATTAATTTTTCTGGTTCTATACTTTATTGTGATCTGATTCTTTTGCAGCAAATGTGGAATCAAGAAAAAGACCACCTGAAAAAGTTTGATGAACTAATGGTTGCATACAGAGTTCGACCTACTGTTTTACTGCCATTTTGGAACGTAGCAGGTTTTGTTTTAGGTGAGTTTCTGTAATTACTACTCCTGTTTTGTGAAGTCTTCAAATGTGTAAGTTATTTGTATTGTTTTGAATTTCACTGTTTGTATATGTTTGGTGCCACAATCACAGGGGCTGGAAGTGCTTTGCTTGGAAAGAAAGGTGCAATGGCCTGCACGGTGGCAGTGGAAGAGAGTATATCCGATCACTACAATAGCCAGATCCGAACTCTCGTGGAAGAAGGTCCAGAAAAATACCAAGAACTGTTGCAGGTATTTAACTGTGACTTAAAAAGTAGTTTAACACTTTCATTGAATTATCTAACGTGACTTTAGTCTTTTAAAAGACTAAAAAAATGCTCCTAGAATTTATAGTAGATCTCTCTTTTATCACTTAGAATGCTGAAACCACCAGAAACTTTAGGTTAAAAGGATGTTTTTTTCCTTCAGCAGCACTAAATTGATCAATTGACCAAAATTAAAATGTATGTTGGATTAGTTTCAGCGTACTTTCAGTAATTCAGTATTTCCCTTTTGATTGGGAGAACTATGATTTAATTTTGATTACCTCTAATTGAAAGGAAGGGCTCAGAGGGGAAACAAAAGGAGAAAATACGATTGTGTAGTAACATTTTGGTTATACTGGATATGATTATGTAGTTCTAGTCTTGAATGCTGTTCAGAGCATGTAAGGAGCTAATGTTTATTAACTCTGCAAGAAGATTATTTCCAAAGTATTTTAGGCATCAAACTGGGACGTGTTCCTGTCAGGTGCTTGTCAGAGACTGACAAGAGAAAAAGGGCATTCTTTAGAGTATGCTGGAATGGACAAAAACCCTGTTGGTTTACAGGGAAAGACCCTTACTGGTTATCTGCAAGGCAGGGACCTTAATTTCCTTATTTAAATTGTCAGAATAATTTGTATTTGGGGAACTAATTAGTGTTACAAGTTACTATGATTATAGGTTTTCCTTAAACAGTGAAAAAGATAGTGATATAGTAAACAGCAGTTTAGTTTTTAAAGACTTTTTTTTGAGAATATTAAAAGAACTTTAGATTTGGGGAATACTGTAAATAATTCCCTTCTTGCTGAATTGGGTATTTAAATTGTTGAGAAGCTTTCCAGACCTGGGCCTCAGATGCCCGTCCTGGTGCATGCAATGGTCAAAAGCATATAGTTTTGTGTACTAGCTGCCTTGATTTCTCTGCCAAGCAGACTTACTAATTAACTGCAACTTTTAAAGGTGATAAAGCAATTTCGGGATGATGAGCGGGAGCACCATGACATTGGGCTGGAGCACGATGCAGAAGCAGTAAGTGCAATAACAACTAATTGGCATGTCAGCGAGGATGTAGATGTGATGTTCCTACCTTCCTTACCCAGGGACTGTGATGTAGTTCTTTGTTTGAGACATAGAAAATAAGGCACTTGATATTCTTTCCCAAAGATAAATATAAGAAAATACTGCATATTACAGCTTCCATTTTTCTATAACAGAATTGAATCTATTGCAACAAGTGTTAAATGTGATTGTTTTTTCCGGAGAGGTGTCCTCTGCCCAGTTCTTAATTTTATTTTAAGTTTAGATTAAATATTTTTTGAAGACAATGCTAATAAGTGCTATCCATACAGCTGGGAACTTGAGGCATCATGTTGGTAGATGAACACCACCATGTTAAGAAATGTGAGATACAGAACGACATTCTGTGCTCCCTTGAATAGTGCAGGAGGGACGTGTGACTTCTCTCCTTTTTCTCTCTTGACTTAACATTTGCGAAGCTGATTGTTTTGAATTTAGTTTTCTCTGGGGTAGAGAAGAATACATACACAGGCATTTTTGGTGGTGGTGGGTTTTGTTTGTTGTGGTTTTTGCTTTGTTTGGGTTTTGGGGTTTTTTGTTTGGTTTTTGTTGTGGTTTTTTTTTTTAGATAATGCTGTTTATTTCTTACTATGATCTAGTTGAAACAAAACACTCCATCAGATGCGTTTAATCTTTTATTCTTTGTTTTACAGGCACCAGCATATGCAGTTTTGAAGACAGCTATACAACTTGGATGCAAAGCTGCAATATTTTTATCAGAAAGAATTTAGTGATATTTTCAATAATGTTTGTGGCAATAACCTGTGACACAAAAGAGTATGGAAATTGTGAAAGACTGATAGTTACTTTAAAATTTTTCAGCCATCCTGTGTCCTATTGAGATCAAAAACTATATTAAGATCAGTTGAGCTACATGTGAGTAAAGATGGCAGAGTTGGGTCCGTATGAACTAAACCTCTTTATTCAAAGACTGTTCACAAGGTGGCAGCAAAATATGTATGTATATAAATGATTTATATATATAATGTGTGTAAGTATAAACACACACAAATACATTCTCTGTTGCCTTCACATTTATATGTACTTGAAATAAGCTGGAGCTCATCAGCTCATTTTAAAACGGTTAATACTGATTAAGTAGGATATTTTTGAGTTCTGTTTTCAGGGTAAGTAAATGAAATACTAATAAGTATTTCTTTTCAGTTTGTTTTGAATAAAGATTGGTATTACAAGACTTTCATTTTAAGACTTGTTTGTGGTTTTGCGGTTTGTTTTTTCAGGCTCAATTCTGAATCCTTTATTTAAATAGAAATTTTCTTCCTTTGGGTTTTGTTGTTGTTTTGGGGGGGTGGGGGTGGGTGGTTTTGGGTTTTGGCTTGGTTTTTTTTTTTTCTTGTTCTGAATGTGTGTGTAAGGAATTGATTCCTGATATAGAGGAAGTGGAGAGAGGAACTTGAAGCACCTGTGAAATTGCACTTAATATTCTGTTAGAGATTTCAAATTTAGCTTACTTTGCTTCTAGTCTTCAGTGGCTCTTGAATAGAGACACTCTTGCTTTCTCCATGTTTGAACAAATTCCTCATGCTTTCTGCTGGCATCCTGGCATGGAGCAATAGATATAAAAAAGATAAAATTAGGCATGTCTGGTCTGTTCAGTACTAATGGGAGATGATAAAAGGTCAGCAATGGGGAATTAGTGTCTTAAAATGGCGAAAGGTGGATGAAAGGGATTTTGTGCAATGTTGCATCTCTTGTTCTTTCTGTCTTAAGAACTTCCTGACCATTGTTTTCCCATTGCATCAATAATTAAGTAGGATAACTTTCCAGATGCATAGGCATAATATAGAAGATGCTTATATTTTGCTACAAACAAAGTCCCTGTGAGACACTTCCATTTTTATAGCTGAGAAGCGTGATCTTTTGACTATATGTGGCAAGGGAGGGGAACCCTATGAATGAAATTGTGGGTCACATAGAAAGCACATCTCCATCCTTTTCCTCTTATGTCCCTGCTTCTAAAACTAAGGGGAGATGCAGGTTGTTTAACTGCCATAAGCAAACACATTTTTTTTTCCCAGGTTTACAGGTTTTTCAGTTTCAAAAGGTTTGTGGTTTTGGTTTTGTTTGGTTGTGTTTTTTCTTAACAAGAGTAAGTAAGCTTGGCAGATCAGAGAGCAGAATTTCTTGCATCTTGTTTTCTGGTTAAAAGCCATGATGTATTAGAAGTCAGTATTTCTTAGCCCAAGCAATGGGGTGTAATTAATTGAACAGGCCAGCTGTGGTTGTGGAATGTAATGGTTATAAACCTACTTGAAAAGGAAAGAATTGGAAACCAAGAAATAACCAGTAGCAAGTGTTCCTGTTACTGTCGAGGAATGGGGCTGGCATTGCCAATCTTGACTTTTCCCTTTATGGCAAAGCTATACAGTTGTGTTGAGGCTGGTTAAGTAATGTGACAAAGTTTTGCTGTTTGCTGGTTCCAGTTGTGTTGTGCTGGCCAAATGCTCTGTACTGGCTTTGGAGCTGCTTTGAGACCAGAGGAGGGTAAGACGTGCAGAGTTTCTGCCAATTTCAAGAGCCGTGGGAGCGTATCACATCCAAGCATCTGGGAGCTTGGGGAGGCTTCAGACAGCTTTTAACCCAGGTACAGCTCAGTCCACCATTTTTGAGTAGTGCTTAGTTGTTAGTGTTTGTAGGTACTGATTGCTGTGTAATTTGACATTAAAAACCTCTTAAAGAGTATTATTTTCCTTTATTTTGTGAAGGAGCTTACACTGAAAGCTAAATCTTAATATGGAAACTCCTGTACGATTTATTGTGACTGACACTTTGTAGGTTCTTTAATTTCTCTCACACCAATTGCAAGTCTGGCCCGGTTATACTCTCACTCCTGATGCTATTTACATTGTCCAAACAAAGCAGTGGTTGGTTCTCTATCCATGACTGGCTTGCACACCCACTGGAATAACTTGAGGAACTCAAAATTGAAATGACAGATTTCTCAGGGACTGCATAGTCAGAAGATAGCTCTAAGAGATTCTCATTTTACTTGTCTCAGCCCCAGCCAGTTGTGAGCAGATGCCTGTAAACTGGAGTTCACTAAAGGTACGTCGTATTTAACACACTGTGTTCCTGAACTTGATCAAAGTCACGTCTAGCGGATTTCTTGCCTTAATTTCTCCAAAGCATTTGTTACGCTGGCACGTGGAAAATTCATAGGTAATTTGGAGAAGAGAGGAGTTGGCACAAAATAATGGTTTGAGTGGCTAAAGGGGTAACAAGTTGTGTTGGAAGAACATGCAGTGCAGTTGTGTAAGTCCCAGGCTTTAATAATTGAGTAATAAGAGGGAAAAAGACTGCTTGATTAATAGTCCATTGTAAAATTTGTAATCAACAGGGGCAGCATCTTTTGTAAGTCCATTATTAGAACCAGGGAGGGAGGGGCACACAATGTTTTGACTCAAATCTGGAAGTTGCACACCCGTTCTTACGGGGGGCCTGTGACAGAAACTGGAAACGGAGCCCAAGAGTTCCCTGGTCTCTGTGCCATTACGTCAGGGTTGAACACTGGACAAGGCAGCCACGGGGCTTTCCTAGAGAGAGGGCACTCAGCTGGGACCTCGTATTTTCCAGAGCAGTGGTTACCGAGGGCGTCTCTGGAGATGTCTGCGGCGGTGGTCGACAGTTGTGGGATTTGCTGCTGGCACAGAGAAGTGTTCATGTGATCCTTCATCCAAGATGTGGGTGGCCTCCAAGACCATCTCACACTGCTCACTCGGGGCAGGAACATTTGAGAGACAAATCTCATTTTTAATGCGTTTAGTTTGGCCAAAGGCTGGGAACATCAAATACCAGGAAATCATTGTATGAGGTCAGTGTGTTTGGCCATATCTGCAGTAACTGTGAGGGAAAGCGCTCACAGGGAGTTCTTTGTCCTCAGCAGCTGAAAACAGCCTGCACATTTGAGTAGGCCGTCAGACAGTCACACTGTCTCTCGCTGCGAGCATGAAATATCAGTTGGGAGAACAACTCTGCTTTATGCTCCCGATCAGGGTTTGTTCCTTCTTTTTACTGGAGCAGCATATTTACACCCATCCATTACAGTGTGGGTGAGTTGTTTCCCTGGCACTTCCAATGGCTAAGCATTTCCCTGCTCACTGGTGGTTGCTCTTTATTGTTGTTGTTTTACGTAGAAAATTGAGTTGCTTTTCATTTTCCTCATGCAAAAGGGTTGTATTCTTGTTTAAAAACCTGTTTCAGATTTTGAAAGACTACACAAGGTGGTAGGAAGTTACAAAAGGGCTAGAGATGCTAGAGTGCTGCACAGAACTCCTGTTGTACAGCTGCTGCAAGGCTGTAGTTTCTTTTTATGTGTTATTTTCAGGCAGAACTAAAGCTGATTCATGTCAGCCATCCTGGCAGGGGTTAATGGCAGGCACAGGCCAAAGTGTATAGCTTATACAAGTCTGTTATCATAGCCATTCAGGATGAACTCTGGTCGTGTTGACAGAGGAAAAGGAACTTGGATCAGCCAGGGAGGCTGTGAAATGCTGCATTTTCAGAACAGGGAGTGGGAAAGATGAGGGGGTCTTCACTGTCCCTTTGGGTTTTGGGCTGTCTTCTAAACCTGAGGATAAGCAGGGTACTGTAACATTCAGTGGGATGAAATCCTTCCCCTCCAAGTAATGATGGTGTGTCTTGCTCCTGTCATAGTCAAGGGCTTTATCCTGATTTTTCTCCTCCAGAAGGAGAGAGTGTATCACTTTTTGGCAAGGGAAGCAGAGGTATCCACCCTGTGTGTGTAGGGGGCACAGAGCTGTTATCTGCTCCTTCATCAGTGTCTCACCTTTCGCTGTTTTCACCTGCAATCAGTGCTGGGGAGGGTCTGGCCCCTATTCTCCAAAGCTGCTCCGAATTGGAGATTAACGTAATGATGGTGCTTGGAGGCCACGTGAATACGGCCAGATGGTGTGGTCCATGTGCTGAGATTTTTGGGGCATTTCCTGGTGCTCTGACAGCTCTGAAGCAGGATCGCTGCGCTTGCAGGCACTGCTGCTGGCTTGGGAGGAGGAAAACCCAGTGAAGGAAAGCAAACAGGCAACGGCAGCTCTGTCTCATGAAGTGAGACGGGTCGTTATGAAAATTCAAAGCAGTTCTGAAGACCCGTGGCCCATCCGTAGCAACTCTGGAAAGCTACCAGGGTGGCAAGGTGCCTGTGGTGCCACAGCAGTGTAGGTCTGGATGTGCCAGGACATGTTTCAGCCTGGCTGCCGCAGCTCGGCCAGGCAAAAATCAAATCCCCACGGCTGTGATTAATGTGGGGATGCTGACATAAGCAGAATGGACTTATGCCACAAGTTATGTAAAACGGGACTCAAAGGATCGTTTGGCAGAGAGCTGAATCATCGTCTGAGATGATAAATAATACAGATAGAAGAAGTATCGGATATAGTGAGCTTGATCTTTGTCTGGAGTAAATCTGTGTGGCTCACTTAAGCATAATAAAGCTAAGCTTGCTACGGATCAGCCGAGGATATGCTATACAATTCCTGTGCTGGGAGTGATGTAGATTGTACTTCCCTATTTTTACTTAAGGTTTAAGGGGTTACTTAATCTGTACAGTCCCTCGTGTCTGCCTGGTTTCTTGACTTGAGGGAAGATATCACTTCAAATGGGTGCCAGTCATTTTTTGTCACTAGCTTCAAAGATGTGGCTTGTCACTTGCATTGAATTCCGCACATACTTTCAGCTTGGGGAGCTTAAAAGGATAAGTAAAAGAAATATTGGCCAGTGTGAAGGATGAATGCATGTGATAAGGGAGGAGATTGTGAAAAGGTACCATTTTTCTATTTGCTAATTCAGTTTCCCCAGGCTGGCTGAGATGAGAAATCTGAATGGCAGCAGCCTTGCAGTTGAACTCCCAGCTAGAGTGGCAGAACTTAACTTGCGTTGAAGAAAGCTTGTTCATACTTATAATTAGAACTGAGGGGCTGATCTGGTGTCGAGTAAGTGAACAGTTAATTGGAACAGGTTCAGTGGGTGACAGTTCTTTAAAATGACTGCATTAGAAGGAAAATTCAGGTCATTGTCATTAGATGCTTTCAATAAACGCAGCCTCCTGTTGACTTGAGGTGTTTCTGAGAAGTACCACCTTATATTACAGTGTTACAGAGTAGAACCCAAACCTAAGCAGGCCAGGGAATGGTACCTCTTTGTGTCCAGTAACCCAGCCTATGGCAGCAGCAG